AAGGTGAAGGTGTCCCCAGTCTGCTGGGGGAAGGTGAAGGTGTCCCCCCAATCTGCTGGGGGTAGGTGAGAGTGTCCCCCAGGTCTGCTGGGGGAAGGTGAAGGAAGCTATATGTTTTTGGTGCAGAAGGTAAATATTTTAATACAGTGATTTCTGACCCTAACTGTACACGAGAAGGGTTTAGGGAACTATTAAAAAATATTCTTGCCCAGGTCCCACAGCCTGCCAATTAAATTAGAATTGCTGCTTTAACCAACATCACCTGTGAGCCACTGTGGGCCATGCGGCACCTGGCGGGACGCTGCCGTCAGACTGCCTTTCCTCCTTGTGGTACACGTGGCGTTGAGCATGTCCAGTGGGGCCATCCTGAAGTAGTGCGAGCCTCTACTCTACTCAGGACGGCTTCCCACCTGCTGTTCTCTTTCTGGTTCGGAAAGTACACTTCTCGGCCTCAGACGGTTGATCACCTTTTTGGTAATCAGCTTCTGCCCCTTGTGGAATAGGAACTTAATTTGGAGGTTTTATCCAGAGTAACTTCTGCCTGTTTGTGTCGACAGAGCGCAGATGAACAGTGTGTTCGTGGACGTTTAAGCCTACAGTTCTCAGCCTTCTGTGGAAAATATTATGTCACATTTCTCTTCTAATACAGTGGAACAGCGGGGGTATAAAAATTATGAAAAAAACAAAAAGCGTGATTAAAACATACGTCATTCCTGATTCCGTGTAGCTGGGCTTGTGCCAGAATCCCAACCACAGCAAGAACTTCCTTGGCACAGGGCAGCGTGCTGACGAGCAGCCATGAGGGAGACATCCCGTGAACGCTGGTCACATTGTCGCAGCCTTCAGCCCCCAGGCTTGGGAGGGGCCTCTGGGAGGGCTGTCACTTCCAGGACATAGAGGACAAAGGCTGCCTTCTGACTGGTGCTTGGATGCAAGTTGCAGTCCTTGCTCCCTCGCTGCCTTCCTGCGAGACTTGGCTGGGTTCCTGATGTGTTCCCAAGGCCAGATACCGGGGTTGTATGACCAGGGAGATGCACTGACCTGGCGGGATCAGCCCCGCGACCAAGGGGAGAGGTGTGCAGACACACAGGCAGGCGGTCCATTGTGGATTGCCAGCAGCAGGTGGTGCCGAGGCTCAGACTCCTCTTGCCATGGCCCAGAGCCATGTCTTTCCAAACTGGTGGTAGAAGTGTGGTCTTGGGCATGGGAGCATCTTAATGATAGGTTCATCTAGTGCCGATCAGTGGCCTCTAAGAAGGCTTAAAGCTGGGAGCATCTTCTAGGAGGTGGAGACTGCAGCCCAGGCCATACATTTCAGAACACCCACAACCTGATGTTCCAATTCATTTGTGCTTCTTTGGCCTGCCTCTCTAAACGTATGCGTAAGGCTCTTCGCTCTGTGAGGAGCACTGGTTTAGCAGAATGTGTGGGGCCGTGTTCTCCCTCGGGACACGCTCAGGAGGTTCAGGAGTCTCCGTGGACTCCACCGAATGAACCAGGAGGTGGCATTGCATCTCTTTTGTTCCTACAAAGTCTTCCCCCTTTCTTGGGGGGCAGGTGGTAAAAATGGAAATTGTCCACGTTTTCAGTATATGACTGTGGTCACCAAGGAAGGCACCACGAAGAGAGAGGCAGGCATGTGGCTCACCTCTCTTTGGTCAAGGGTGTCGATTGAGCAGAGAAAGCTGAGTGTCCAGGGCTCTTCTTCTTGGGGGTCTCTGGCTGTGTGGTCAGAGCTTGAGCATCGGAGATTTTCTGGCTATCTCACTTTGGGCAAGGTCATTCGATAGTGTCCTTGAGACTGAATTTCCTCAGTTGTGTGGGAGGTGATTGTGAGGATTCGCTGTCCAGTGCCCCTTGAAAGAGCAGCCACAGATGCAGGCACGGGGTGGGTGGGTGGAGGGCAGCGACTTTACCATTGTGATGTCACTTGGGGGAATTCGAGAACTTTTGGATGCCCGAGAGCAGGGCCAACCAATGTGGTTGGCCCTGGCCACAGGTGACTATTATGTAAATGAATGAAATCAAAGGAAAAATTCTGTTCCACCACCACATTTCAGGTGCTTGTGGTTCTAGAACATCTCATCATCACACGATATGCTGTTGGGCAGTGTAGCTCCAGAGTGTCTGTTGCATCCTAGGCAAAGGAATGAATGAATGAATGAATGAATGAATTTATTTATCTATTTACTTATTTATTTAATTTGTTTTAAAAATTATTTTAAATTAAAAAAATTTTATTTGAGAGAGAGAGAGTACAAGTGGGGGAGAGGCAGAGGGAGAGGGAGAAGCAGGCTCCCCACTGAGCAGGGAGCCCGATGTGGGATTTGGTCCCAGGACCCTGGGATCATGACCTGAGCCCAAGGCAGACGCTTAACTGACTGAGCCACCTTGGCACCCCGAGGCAAAGGAATTTACTAAGTGGAACTCTGCCATTTTAACCCCACCCCCATTTGGGCCAGTGTTTTCAGATAACTCCATTTTTCTTTTGAACGTGGAAATGCTTTAAACTCAGATATAAAAAAAAATGCCACTGTGTGGTTTATGCCGTTGTTTGTCAGAAGACAATCTGATGTTCCTCTGTTTGTTTGTTTTCTCTGGTTATAGCACTTAAACAAAACAATGTTCTTTTCTTGTCCCCAGTGATGGACGTAACAGATATAATAAATGGGAAAGTAGATGATGAAGACAAGCAGCATTTCATCCCCTTTCAGCCGTAAGTATGGAGCCATCAGAGAGAGCACTTAACCAGATAGAATATGGAAAACGTGTGTAATAATTCTCTTCGAAAATAAGTTTATTAATTCAGCACAAGTAGAGATCGATTCTTTTATAATAATGAAGAATCTGGGTAGTCACTGCCGTAGTGCATGGCATTTTTATAACCCCAAGAATCTTGGGTTAAAGTTGCTTTATGGTCTTGCATGTAGAAGATTTTCCCTGTGATTCAGGGGAGTCACCTTATCACCAAGGACACGCAGAAATACCCTTCTACTTTGAGCACGCATGTTTCCTTGCATCATTGATGCATTCTAGTAGCTATTCACATACTCAAAATACAGTACTTTCAAATTCATCACGGGAGGAGGTTGCTCCTTTTAAAATAGAAAACCAAACAAAATAATGATGAATTCTTTTGTAAGGCGAGAAATAATGCTTGAAGCAAATAATCATGCTGCTGATTTTCTATCTCTGGTTGCCTAGAGTGGACTAGGTCTGTGCTTGCCATTCTTAGGGCCTATCTAGTTCTGAAGCTAAGTGTGTGGAGAGATGTGGGAAGCTTGGAAAACATTTGGAGGAGATTTGTTAAATCGATTCTCTGATTGGAAGGTAGATCCCGTGGAAAAGGTCGAAAGAATCGGTTATTTCCTTGGAGATTAAAGCAAGAGAGTACCTGCATAATGGTCTGTGGCCACTTCACTGGGCACTTCTCCATCTCAGACAGCCGTGGAGAGAAAGAAAGAGGGATTAGAGTGGTTTAGGTTAATCAGAAGTGACAGTTTCCTCCTGAGGGTGTGAAATCTTAGAAGAGGAGACCATAAGGCATGTTAGAATGACCTGTCGGAGTGCTCTGCCTTCTGCCTCTTCTCATTTCTGTTTTTACTTAAGTGGTTCCAGGCTTGAAACAAATTTTAGGAATTGTACCTTGGGTTCAGGTGTTGGCTGAGGAGGCTTGGAGACTGGTGATACTCAGTGGGTAGCTGAAGGAGTCTCTCTGGGGGTAAGGTGGGCAAGAGCTATGAGCTTGGCTTCCCTTTGTACCACCCATTCTTGCATGAGGGATCCCCATACTCAGCCTCAGGCTTGAGAACCACTTGTGCAGGATGGGATTAGAGTGGTTTTCTTTGCAGGCAGGTGATCTAGTCAGATAGCGTCCTAAAACATGGCTCAGTGGAAATTTTTGTAGTCTTCTCAACATGAGAATAACAGAAAACCCTGCATTAACCAGCGTGAAATGGGTATCTCACCACACACAACTGGAGGCACAGGTCTTTTCTAGCTTCATTCTGTTAGAGTTGCTCTTCTGCCTTCTGTCTAATATGGTAACCACGAGCTACATGTAGCTATGTAAATTATTGACAGTTAAATAAAATTAAATACTTAGTTCCTCAGTTACTCTAGTCCCATTTAAAGTGTTTAGTCCCATAGGTAGCTGGTGGCTACCATATTTGTCAGTGCGGATCTAGAACATTCCCGTCATCGCAGAATGAACGTCCTGTTGGATGGTGCTGTCTTGGAATCACACCCTGTGAAGATAGTCACAAAGGGAGCTCAGTTCTGCAGAATCTGGAAGTTTCCTCAGTGAACAAAGGAAACATGTCTTTGAACATGGGCAGATATTGAGGTAATAAATAAAATATACCCTCATAAAATGATAATATTAAGTTGCTTCTTTTGCCCATGAGAAATAATGCAGCCCCGTGCTGTTTTGAATGCTGTTTTATATATTAGACCTCAGAGTTTCTTGATGCCCTAATGTACCACTGAGTTGAAATTACCTGTTGCCTGCTAGTATCTTCTGGGAAAAGTCAAGGGGGAAAAAAAAAAAACCTGTGGGTTATTGTTTGAGAAGTTAGGGGGGTTATTAGTTTTAGATTCACTAGTCTAAGTTTCACTGGGACATGTTAGGAGCTGCCTGAGATAGCATATTGCTGCCATCTTTTTCTGTCTTATAGCAAAACACCCATTTTAAGAAAAATAATTATTACATGTTCAGCTCTTGTAATTTGTGATTCCTTGCTCCATTAAAAGAAGTCTAATATACAGATTAATATTTCCAGTGTTTGAAACAAAAGAGCAGCATGATTTTAATAGCAAAATAAGCAATGAAACCAGTTCTTTGGGAAATGCCATGCTAATGAAACCGTTTTTTGCTCCATTAAAACTGATTTATTATATCACAGGATAAGTTTTAGGGAAGGAAACAGAGGACATCTCTTTCTTTCGGTCTTGTTTAACTTGGTGAAGTAAATTAAAACAGTCCTCAGCTCTCTTGAGTAATGTGGGCTCATGTGATGAATAACTCTTGTCCTTGGTTCTGGAAATGATTTTAAACATTATGTACTTGACGTACATTTTCTTGCTCATTGCATACTGTGCTTTGCTGTGCTACATGGTATTTCTCTTTGCACATGTTGCCTGTTTGTACTTATCTCTTGGTCTTAGTGTAGCTTCTATGAAAAATTCATGGTCCACGGGATCCCCAAATGTTGATGGTTACATTCATAATTGGGTCGTAGTTTCACCTTTCAGACATGGTAGTTATATCTTCTCCAAAGACTGTGCCATTCTTCTCACACTTAATTATCTGAGGCCACATTGGGTACACAGTCTGATGGAGTAGAGTGGTCGCCACCCAAGTTCCCCAAGCAGTCAGGTTGTAGGGATCTTTTTTTGGTCTTGATTTTGCTTTTCCCTTCGCACCACCTGCCCCTATGACCTATGCCATGGCCAGGAATTATTGAAATCGAAGAAACAGAGGTAAACATTCCTTGCGATTAAATGCTGTCCAACCACATTATTTTCAGATAAGCGCCCTTTTTTATTATCTGGTAGAAATGGAGTGGAGGCTTGGTGCATGTTTATTTCCTGGGGATCGGGTCGACCTCGTTTGCTTTACTTCTCTCGTGTGGTTCAGCATTTTCCTGATCAATGCTCTTCCCTGTCTCTCTTGTCACCTATTTTGTCCTTTGTCGTGCGTTGACTCATGATGACTCTCTCGCATTCGGTGACGATGATCTCTTGTGTTCCCTTGTTACCGTGACCTCTGGGTCTCTGTGCCCCTTTGTCTCCTGTGGTCTTGGTCGTCCCGTGCCCTCCAGGCTCGCGTTGGACGACGCCATTCGACACAAGCCGCTGAACATGTCATCCCGTTTTTCACCCAGGGTGGCGGGGGAGAATGACTTCCTTCAGACTGTTATAAACAAAGTCATTGCTGCCAAAGAAGTCAACCACAAGGGCCAGGGTATGTATTCTATTGTTTTATTGCTACAGATGTTCACCTGTTACATGAACTTGGGACAGTGCTGTATGGTTTGCATTTTAGTTTGACGATGATGATGGTGGTGGTGGTGATGGCAATGAGGATGGTGATGGTGGTGGTGGTGGTGATGTTGGTGATGGGGCTCGTGGTGGTGATGATGGTGGTGATGATGATGATGACAGTGATGATGAGAATGAGGATGGTGGTGGTGGTGATGCTGCTGATGGGGATGGTGATGCGGGCAGTGTTGGGTCATGATCTGTGTGTACAGTGTATGTACAGTGTACGGAGGTTTTCTTGCTGGTCTCCCTTGTAAGCATTGCTGAGAGCCAACCTCCTGGGTGAGCGGGGAAGGCTGAGTGGGACACAATGAAATGTTTGCAAAGAGCCCAGAGTTTATGAGACTTGGAAGCAAGTTGTTTGCCTTCCTGAGTCTTCTCCAGCCCTCCCCTCTCCTCCTAGCCATTTTTGAAAGCACTTGAAGGATTTTACAAGAGAATACGGTTACTGTCCACCGTCTGTTACTTCCTCTTTGCTGCTCAGAGAAACATGGAGACACCCGACACAGCCCAGCTCCACGTGCGCCCTTGACTCTCCCTTCTGTGCCCATGTTGCACGCTCAGTCCTGGCACGTGGTTTCCTGGGGCTCCCCTTCACCCCCCCCCACCCCCCCCACCGCCCCCGAGGCTGTGGCTTCGTTTTGGAGACGGATCTCTCTTCAGTTTTGTAATGGAAGGGATTTTTCCTCCTGACTCCATGTCTCGCACTCATCGTTTTTAATCCCACGCTGACAGGTTTCCCAGCAGCTGACCTTCTGTTGGCAGAGGCAATGAATCAATCACCCTGGGCTGGGGACAGTTGGCACTCGGGCTGGCCAGGACTGTTGCCAGAAAACAGCTGTTTATGGAGGCCTTGCCTCCGGCTCAAGGGGAAGTCACCTTCAGAACTTCTCCCACCTAAGGCTGCTCTTAGTACCGGTGGGACAACCCACCCTTCAGTCCTTGGTCAGATGCAGACTTGTCACAAACTCAGTAGAGCTTAAGTGGGTAGACCTTCTTTCATTATCTAGTTACCTTATGTCCCTAGCCTTTTAAGAAACGATTCTCTTGACTCGTTTCCCATTGTTATAAAGGAGAGTATGAATTGAGTTTGAAGAATGTTCTGGGGGAGTGAGAAACCTTTGGCTTTCTTTGGTGTGAACCGGCCAGCCCCCTCCCTGGCAAACAACAAAACAAAAACCCCAACTAAAGCGTTAATGAACCGTGGCCTCTGTAGACAGAGCAGTTTAAGCTGACCCAGGACCTACCTTCTCATCAATTACCAGCTCTCTGATTTGCCCTTTAATTAAAAACCACAGGGAGCTCCAATTAAAGCTGTTTTGATTGGAGCCACCCTCAGACTGGGAGCACCAGTCCCCAGACCCCAGGCTCCCGTTGGATTGAGTTTCTCTTGCAGAGCCATCAGATTTTGAGAAACTTCTATCACAGAGTCACACAGAAGTGGAGATTGGTGTCAGGCCAGCAGGAGGACCCACAGCCTGCCTCTGCCAGGCTCACTGGTGTCGGGGTGCAAATCTGTGTCACCAGAGCTGATACCAGGGGGCCCAATTCCTGGGAGTCGAGGAGGACAGGTGTTTCCAGGTCACAGTGAGAACTAAGAGACAAGAACATTTTTTTTTTTTCCCCAAGGGGACTACAGGTGCCTTCCTGAACTGAAGTGCCCCTGGGCAATGTCGCTGGCTGGTTTTTTTGTCCTCGAAGCTAAAGTGAACGTTTCTCTGGGGCTCACTGGCAAGCCTGCCTCTGTGCCTTCCAGGGAGACCTGAGACAGAGCTGCAAGGCGTGTGGGTTTGCCTCGTGGAGCTCTGTGTTTTCTTCGGTGGTGACCCGGGCTGCCCCGATGTCTGTGTGCCTGTTAGGCAGTGGTGAAGGGTGCGGGGTGGCGGGAGGGATGGGGGGGGGGGTGGGGGGGGGGGACAGGGAGGCCGGCAGTCTTCACACAGAACCAGGAAGCTTCCCACGCTCATCTGTTCTGAGCTCCTCTCTGGGCTTTGGCCCATTTTAGGTTGACGTCCACATGTTTATTTGTCACAGTTGACATTTTTTGTTGTTTAGCCCAAATTATCCCGAACCCTGGACCCAGAGGTTCTAGATGTTTAATGTGGACAGCGAGGCCTCAGACACCCCCGGACATCTGTTCCTATTGTTTCACACAGAATGTGTGCTAATCTCTTTTGTTTTTAGCTCCTCTGGTTAAACAAAAGTCAACCTAAAATGCACTTTTTCTTTGAAAATTGGCCTCATTTTCTCCTTTGAGGAAAGTGTTTTAAACCCAACGTAATCAGGAGAGCTTAATCTCTGTGTTTAAATCGTGTTATAACAAATTGAATTGTGTCATTAAGTTACTCGTTTATGAACTAAGATCATTGAGCAAGCTGGTATTTGTGAGAAAGAAAAGGTGTTTGAAAGGCCGCAGGAGTTTCGAATGGTGTTATGAAACATTTCTCTGCCTCTGACCTCGGTAAATGATCACCTCCCAACGTCCCGCAGGTCCTTGAAAAATGTCTTCTGAGTCACATTCATTCTGGGGACCTTCATTCCTTTGGCAGGTTTTGGGACCTGAGTGAAATTTGAGAGCCCGTCCGCGGCACCCTGGTGTCCCCAGTGGGGATCTCGAGCGTCCATGTCACCTGCCGTGATAATCTCCCCTTGCTTTCCTGTGGGTGTCCCTTTCATGTGGTCTGCTCTCCTGGAGGACACAGCCGTGGGTTAGGTGCCTGGCTCAACAAGGGGCCTCTCCCACAGCTCCAGAGCAACACCGACCTGTGGTGCTTTTGTGTGAATTAGAAAGAGGGTGCCCGTCCTCTGGTTGAGTGAGACGCAAGCAGCGCCTGGGCACATGGCTTGGTGAGCAGAGTGTGGGCTGGGTTTAGCTCCCACTTGCCTTTTTTGCCAGGGCCTTGTTGCAGGGCATGTTCTTTTTTTTTTTTTTTTTTAAGTTTTTTATTTTATTTATTTCAGAGAGAGACATACAGAGATAGCATGAGAGAGAGAGCACGAGTAGGGAGGAGAGGGAGAAGCAGGCTTCCCACTGAACAGGGAGCCCGACGCAGGGCTTGATCCCAGGACCCTGAGCTGAAGGCAGACGCTCAACTGACTGAGCCATCCAGGCGCCCCTGCGGTGCACATTCTGAGCAATGATACATGGGCCCCTGTTTTGGGGTCACCTCTTGACATCTCTTTAGGGACTTCTTTTTATTGGTTATGCTTCTCTTCTCTTCCTTCAAACTCTCCCTCTTATGATTTGGAGTTTTAAATCTTGAAAAGAAACAGAAAGGAAAAAATAGGAAAGGAAAGAAAAGGAAAATACCACGCTTGAAACAGTCTACCTTAGATCATACACCTGTTTTTGTTACTGACTCTTTCTCTACTCCCAGTTTCTCAGCAGAGTAGCATATGCCTCCTCCCTCTGACCTTCACTTTCTGTTCCTTCTTTGTCCTTCTCCCGTCAGCGTAGCCCCCGCTCCCACCCCCGGCTTTACCGGGTGCACTCGCTGGGGTCTGCGGTGTCACCCTGTCTGCTCTGTGCTGCAGACACCGCCCTGGTGCCCTGTTCTCTGGGCTGCATTTTGTGCCACTGACCACACGGTGCACTCTGGGCTTTCCGTGATCTCTGGCCTCTGGCGTCCTCTGTGAGCTTTACTGTTGGGAATTCAGTGCCTAGTTCAGGGTCCTCTTCTTTCTCACCGTTCAGGACGTGGCCAGGGTGCAGGGTTTTCTGGCTCAGGGAGCGGTAGCCCGGCACCTGCTCTCGGTCGTGCCCACAACCGTCCCCGTGAGCACCGCCCCCCCTTCAGGTTCTGGTTTGACCTCCACACGGGTCCCGCCACCCGCGCCTCTGTGCTGCTGCCTGGGTCCCTGTCGTGGCTTCTCTGCTGGGATCCTCACTTGGCTCTGAGCTCCCCCTCCCCCCACCTGCCCGGCCCCACACGGCTCCCAGAGTGCTGTCAAGTGGGACCCTGGTACTTGCTCGTCTTTCCAGCCTCCCCACTGCTTCAGATGGAGCAGTTCCCACCTTGGGGCCCTGCCGCCCTCCCAGCCTCCTCTCATGCCTCTCCCGCCGTGGCTCGGGTTGTCCGGCACCCGGGTGGGCACAGGTCTGCACGCCCGTTGCTTAGTGTTGACTCATCTTCCGATCTCTTTGGATGTCCCTTCTTCGGGAGAGCCTCTGTGACCTCCAGGATCGCAGTCTTGGGGTTATGCAGTTGCCCTGGACTTTTCCTTAGAAAGCTCTTAAGAGTTGCATAGTTCACTGAGACCATGGGTTTAGTGTTTGACTCGTGGGACAGAAGCTAAGTCCCTGGTGGGGCTATAATGATTGTTTGCTCTGTGTCTGCAGTGCCCAGTGTGTGTCGGGCACACAGTAGGTGCTTATTAGACACTTGAATAGATCAGAGGGACTGTCTAGATGGCAGGAGGAGAGGGGTTCACCACCTGGCAGAGAAAAATGTCATCAGTGACTGTGGGCTTTCTCAACGACAAGTGATGCAGGTCTTTGCAGAGGACTGATGTTTTCAGGCTAGCTGATAGCAGACAGGAAGGAAGCTGGAGGAGAAGGGTGTGAGGTTTGGGGTTTCATCAAGCAGAGCGGTTCTGGACAAGAGCAGCCTCAGGTGATGCTCCCTGTGTGGGACTGTCAGGTGTCTCCCATTTCTGCTTGGAATGCATATTGGTGGACAGGGTCTACAGTTTTCCCGTTGGCCTTCTACTGAAGGCGGTGTGCTGAGCTAAGCAGCGATGAATGGTCTCTGCTCCCTGGAAATATGCATCCTAGGGGAGGAATGGCTGGACAGACAGATAAACACACACACACACACACTAGTGGTGTTAGTGAGAGCAAATGCCTTTATATTCTGACGGGCACTTGGGGTCCTGCTGGGCTGAGTGACCAGGGAGCAAGCAGGCCAGGCCCCCAAGGTCCCAGGGACGGAGACCCGGATGTGTCAGCTGACAGTGACAACCTCCCTTCCCACCTGGGAGCAAGGCCCTGTCTTTGAAAATGGTAGAGAGAGCCATGCAACTGATTTGTCTTCCGCCTTTGATTTTGCTGTATTCCCTCTTATTTTTACTTCCTGTTTGCTTGCTGCACAGGAGTATTTTACACAAAATGCAGTTGTCCTTCGCTTTGTGTAGGGAGAGGATGGCACACACCCTCAGCTCGAAGCTGCGAGCAGGTTCACCGTGTTCTGTCCACGGCAGCCCTTCCTTCTCGCTCAGGGGGTTTCGGAGTCTTCACCTTCCCTCCTTGCAGGGAAGCGCCAAGTGGTGGGCAGAGCATTTGCTCCCCCTTCGCTGTGACGTCATGAAACAGAGGGCCCAGGCTGCCTTGGCTCTGTGGGGCTGGCTTGTTGGTGGCTTTCAGCCCAGCGCTGTGCTGCACACCTTTTGGAAAGCACAGGAGACTTCCTGGGTTAGGGAAGCTGTGAATTTACCTCCTGAGCCCTCCTGCGTCGTCCTCCTTCTGGGGAGAATGGAAAGGGAGACCCTTCTCAGTCACTGCTAGAAAAAGCCTTCTTCCTCATTGATCTTAAGCGCTTATGAGAGGGGTCCTTGGTTCTGGGCAGGGGCCGTGCATTGGCCAGGGCGAGAGGTCCCTCCAGGGTAGAGTGTGTACCCCGCTAGTCAGGTGCAGCTGGTTACCCCGTGCCAGCCACCTTTCCCTGGCCCCTCTTTCTCTTTCTCATACACCCACATTTTCTCCTAAGGTGTTAACTTGTGAATTAACAGTTGCGCATTCGTTGAGATGGGTTTCCTGAAATAATTCTTCAAAAATGTATAAGATAAACCATGACTCATGTGTCCATTGTCTTTCTAGGTTTGTGGGTAACATTAAAATTACTTCCTGGAGATATCCATCAGATTAGAAAAGAATTTCCTCATTTAGTGGACAGGACCACAGCGGTGGCTCGGAAAACGGGGTTTCCGGAGATAATCATGCCTGGTAAGGACCGATTCCTTCAGCGCTCTGTGTGTGGCGTGGATGTGGCCAGTGTTCGGGGAGCTTGTAGAGCTGGCCACAATGCGCAGTGTTGGGACAGTGACGGACGAGCTTGTGGGACGTGATGTGTCCACCCCAGGGTGGCTGTGGATCGTTCCTGCAGGCAGGAGCTGTGGTCAGAGTGAGCGCTGACCACCTAGGTTCGGACTGCAGGGAGGTGGCTTCTCTTGGTTGTAATAACCTGCTGGTGGGAGTGACTTCTGGCAGTGTTGTAATAAGGACAAGCACGGGACTCAACGTTTCCAGAAACCCAGCTTGAGGTGGGTCTCTGACACCAGCTGGAGTGAACGTCATCATTACTGTAAGCAAAACCCTTTATTGTCCCGTAATCCATTGTTACCCTTAATCCAGAAGCCTTGCAGTTTGTTTCTGCCCCACCTCATCTGGTGAAAAGGAAGAATGGGAGTTAGACATTCCACTGACCCTGGCTGCCCGACTGCGTGTGCGGAGCTGGGTAATACATAAGATGCAATAAAGGGCGGTGGAGCTTGGGGCCCTTTGCAGGGCCCTGCGGGCTTCACTTTAGGTTCTGAGCAATGGATCAATCATGGTGGTTGGTTCACTGTAGGATGAAGGCAGCTCTTTTATGATGTTAACGTAGGTTCACAGTGAAGGTCCTATAACAGCTTTGGAATCATCCAGAATGTGTTCAAAGTTAAGGGGGCACAATTAGGTGACGCCGGCCTTCCGCCCCGGAAGTGAGAGCTCAGGACCTGGAGTCCAGCCTCTGTGTGGAGTTGCACCACAGCTTCTCCCCCGCCTCAATTAGCTGTGCTCTGCTACTCTGAAGAAGGAGAGTAAGGATAATTCCTCCCTGTAGGGTGGGTTGGAATTGGGATGCTGTAGGGGGTAATGTCAAAGAAAGCACAAGCCCAGCTCAGACGGCTGAACCCTGAGGATATTCATCGGCTCATGCACCTGAGCAGCAGGGTCAGCCCGGGCACTGGCTCCATTTCTCCATAGTAACCACGGCTGGTTGTCTCCTGTGCATATTGACTTTGTCCTCTGGGTAAGGGCCCTGATGACTCCCATTTTCTTCCCAGACCCCAGTGTCCTGAAGAAGATAGTGTGCTTTTGAACCAGTGTTGCCCAGCAAGGAGCCTGAGCATCATCCAGACTGGCCTGCTCAGGCCCCTGCCCTGCAGTCCCCGGGCAGTGATGGGCTTGGGCGTGGGGTGTGCACATTAGCCACCTAGACGTCAGCTCCTCCTAACGGCAAGGGTTGTATGAGGGAGACGTGGACACCCGACGTGTGTTTGGGTAGACATCTGATCAAAGCAAGGAAGGAGGGGCAGCAAGTAAATGTTCACACCTGGTGCCTGTTTAGTTCATATTACGTAGTATCGCTCAGGCCCGATGATGGATTTTAAGCTTATTAAACCCATAATGGAATTCCATGTTAAGATTAATCTCCTATTTACATAATACTTTTCACTTTCCAGATATCATATTAATAATCTGATTTGATCCTCACAAGATCTTGGGCAAGCCCGTGAATATCCTTTATATTGTGGGATACTTTCTGGTTTGCACAAAATGCTCACATTAATAGTTTGGCTTGATCTATGGATCTCGGAAGCCTACACATTGGTGTTGAACTAATTGCGATTGAAATTAAGCCGCAGCCTAAAGTTACACAGCTAATGAGCAGTAGAAATGGGGCCAAACCACCCCACATTCAGAGGTTCCCCGTGGTTTCCCTTTATAGGGCCCTGCCGTACGCTCGCAGGGAGAGGTATCTGCTCTTTGTGCATGCTGTCAGAGTTAACTGCTTTGTTTATTTTGGGGCAGGTGGGGACATGTTCTTTCTGTTATCTCTGTCTTTCAGGGCTGTTGTGGGTCATTGTGTCCTCTGACTGGTGAATCAATGTGAAGGACATCTCAAATTGGTTAGGCTGGATCTTAGTGGCTCACCTGTACAGGAAGAAAGCGTGATGTCCAGCATGCTGTGAAACCGAGGGATACTTTGTAGGGCAGGAAACAAGTCTGTGTGCAGCAAATTAATTTGGAGCTCTTAGTGGATGTATTGCTTGCATGTGGACTCGAGATGAAATTTATAGATTAGGATGACATTGGGCATTCGTCTTGGGTGGTCTAGGATGGCCTCATGTTCCAAAGGGAGACCCAGAAAACTTCTAGCTCATAGTGGTCGTATTTCTCTTTATAATTGACCAACTTTTTTTTTTTTAAAGATTTTATTTATTTATTTGAAAGAGAGAGAATGAGAGAGAGAGAGAGAGAGAGAGAGCACACGAGAGGGGGGAGGGTCAGAGGGAGAAGCAGAAGCAGACTCCCCACTGAGCAGGGAGCCGGATGCAGGACTCGATCCTGGGACTCTGGGATCATGACCTGAGCCGAAGGCAGTCGCTCAACCAACTGAACCACCCAGGCGCCCCTATAATTGACCAACTTAAAAGGTAAGTCTAGGGCGCCTGGGTGGCTCAGTTATTAAGCGTCTGCCTTTGACTCAGGTCATGATCCCAGGGTCCTGGGGTCGAGCTCCGCATCGGGCTCCCTGCTCAGCGGGAAGCCTGCTTCTCCCTCTGCCACTCCCCCTGCTTGTGTTCCTTCTCTCGCTATATCTCTCTCTGTCAAATAAATAAATAAAATCTTTGAAAAAAAAGAAAAAAAAAAAAAGAAAGGTATGTCTTGACCTCTAAAATAATCTAACAGATATCCGGGGAAGCCATACAGCCGACCATCGTTCCGGCTGGTTCTGTGTGCTGAGTTGGGAGTCGGGGTTCCCGTAGCATGGGCTTCTAGCTGGAGTGAGTCATCATGTTCTCTTTTAGGGCCGGGGAATCATCGACAGGCCGTGGGTGCCACATGGTACCCTTAGAGAGAGAGAGAGAGAGAGAGAGACAGCCTGGGGTGTTTTCATTCAGATCCCTGGCCTTTAGCTTGGCAGGATCTGTGCATTGTCCCATCTTACGGGGATGCTTTTTATAGAGATGTGCATCTCCTTTGCACGGCGGGAGAGCCTGCTGTGTCACCTGTGTCGCCGGCTTTTCTGCCTTTCTGTGAGCCGCTGGAAATCCTGCAGGTTTCTGAAGGATCCTGGTGGGAAGCAGAGTTCCTCTGAGCCGGGAAGGTGGCCGGAGGCTTGCATGAGGCAGAGGGAGTCTTCTCTTTGAGTTCACACACGCCTGCTTTCAGTTCCTTCCTCCCCAGAACGAGAACCCTGGAGCCCTACAGGCCTCCACCGAGGGCACTGTCGTGAGTGTGCATCTGTGGGGTTCATTTGCTGTAAACAGGGTCTCACTCCCGAGATGGCTCTGAGTATGGATGACTCGGCCAGTAGGAGGGTGAGACCGTAGGGTTCGCCACCCCCCGCCCCCAGCGTGTGATGGCTCTCTGATGGGCTTCTGACCTTCATGAAGCTCTTGTGACCCTTTTTGCTTATGGCTTTTGTTCTCTGGTAGAATGTGCAGGCAGGGATCGTACGGCCTACAGATCGTACAACACCTGCCTTATCGATGAGGCTGTTCTGCGGTGGGTGACTTGTTTGAGGTCACACAGGGATTGGTGGCAGGTGTTGGCCTGGCAGCTTTGCCTCCTGCACCTGGCCCTGGGCTCCATCACTCTTAGCTTCTCGCACGGTCAGTAGTACTGACTGCAGTCACACTTCTCTGCCAGGATGGAGTGTGGCTGTGGGAGCAACCCACTGGGATTATTATAATAGTGACTTTTAAATGAAAGCTTAATTTAAGAGTCGGATACATTAAAAGCCAGAATAGAGCAGAAAGAAAGAAAGAACGGGAGAAAACAAAAAAGCAAGGGGACTTGTTCTTGGCCCATAGTGGGCCATTTGCTGCTCTTGACGGACCCGTTGCTCACATCCCCTGTGGGAGAGCAGGTGGGTCAGCGTGGGAGGTGACCAGATGGACAGCGGAGGGATAGGCACTGGGTGGTGAGGCTTGCTCTCAGTCACGCTGCTAATGAAGCTTGCTACGTTTTCCCAGTCGGACCATTACCAGGGGCCTCATAGGCTCTCAGTAGGAAGAAGCGTCTTGAGTTTATTTGTTGTGTATGGGTTTTGTTTTTGTTTTTGTTGTCACAGTTTATGGCCCATCTCACTTTAAAATGCACAGGTCTGTTTTGTTCTGCTCTGAACGGAACAGAACAGGTCTGTTCTGATCCTGACAGCTGCCCACCAGGAAGAGAGAAGATCCATGTCCATGCAGAAAGTTTCTCTCTTGACCCACTCCTAGTCCCTGATCCCAGACGTCAGCTCAGAACCTTGGCTTGTGGTGGTTCTCATTCTCGATCAGCTTTTTGTTCCACTCCTTAGAAAAATGTAGAGGGAGCCAGTATTGCCAGTTGTCATCCAAGGTGTGCCGTTGATGACGTGATACTCTGGCTGCCCAGACGCCGAGAACACAGCCAGTGGTCCACCGTGAGATAGTGATGTCAGTCACGATGGGCCGTAGGTACTGGACAGGGGATGGTCCCTGCAAACCCATCGGCAGCATTCGAGTCACCATGGGCATGAGCTGCCCACCGAGGTGAAGGACCATGCAGATAATTAAGGGCCTTGATGTTTTTCCTCCTTCTAGTGATCTTATGATGATGCTGCTGAAAACTGCTTTTGTCATGCCTTTAAATGCTGAGACTGTTTTGTAGAAAATATTTTGTAATCATCATACAGTATTTATAATCCTCTGCTAGGATTGGTAGCAATTTCAACAGTGTTGCAGAATTCCTGGTTACATTATGAATAATGGACTGGTTTTAAAGGTATAATTTTTCCCCCAGGTGATGTTCGAAATGATATCTACGTAACATTAGTTCAAGGAGATTTTGATAAAGGAAGCAAAACCACAGCAAAGAATGTGGAGGTTACAGTGTCTGTTTACGATGAAGACGGAAAACGGCTGGAGGTATTTATTGTTGCAAAGCTTAATGTGTGGCGTGGAAACTTTATTTTCCAAGTGTTTTCTTGGCTTTGCTACAGAGTAGGAAAAGACGTAGCTGGGGCCGCGTGATCCCATTTCTGGGGATGAGAGTTTGTTCTTTATCCCTTTCTCCAGCTCGCCGTAAAGCGCTGGCCTGCGCGGGGTCCTGGCTGACACCTGCCTGGGGAGACCTCTGCGGTCCTGACCCCCTCTGTTTTCCTGGCCCTTGTCAGCGTAGACCCAGGGTTCAGAGGTCTAATGGTCCCACTAGAAGTTCAGACACCGTTATTATCACATTCTGAGAGCTGGGGAAACTGAGGCCCAGGGAAGTCTTGTAAGGGTCATCAAGCTAGTGGGGGGTGAAACGGGTTTGAATCTGGGCTTCTGACCTTGTGCTCTCCTGGGTGGTGGCGGTTACCACGGCGGCCTGCAGGACTCGGCGTGCTGGGCAGTGCTCGGGGACGGTGACCTCTGATGACCGGAGGCCATGCCAGAGCAGGTGCCCCTGCTGGCTACCACTCTGGACCCTGGGTGGTGGGCTGGGCTGTCCTAAGCCCACGTGTTTGAGAGCAATGCCCTGTGTATGCACCTGAGGCTCAGCTGTGCCAGGATGTGGGGGCGGCATCCCTTCTGTGGGGATGGCCCATGTCGAGTGTCACTGCCGGGAGGTGTTACCCTTGCCACTTGGGCTTTATTGGCATTGCTTCCTCGGGAGCCAAGTGGTCAGTGTTTACAGCTGGTAGATCGGGAAGGAGTGTTGCCACCTCCTTCGTAGCCTGTAGCTCTTCATTCTGGACCTACTGAGTGAATCAGGTGACTTCCTGCCGACCTTAATGTTAAGGCTGTTAGGGGTGAGGGTACGAAGGGTGAGGACAGTAGCATCCCTGTACTGATAACCATCGAGATGCTTAACTGTCTGCGAGCAGGATTGTGTGCTGGCCGCGCTGGCTGCAGATGGATCTGTCCTTCCATTGCTGGGAGCATATTCCATTTGTGATGGGGTTTATTGGCATTCCTGTAGTGCTCTGCTTAGCTCATCTAACGGGGGCGGGAGGTGGGGAGATGGATGCAGTGTCAAGCTCTATGAGGTCTGATGTGAACTCTTTATGCCTTCTTTTAAAGCATGTGATTTACCCGGGTGCTGGTGATGAAGCGATTTCGGAGTACAAGTCTGTGATTTACTACCAAGTAAAACAGCCACGTTGGTTTGAGACCGTTAAGGTATCATTTACATGGTCATTTTATCCCACGGGGTTGATTATGAAATGCTCATTTGTATCCTAAGGAAGTCCCCAGCTCCCACCCAACCCGGGGCTGCTTGTCAGCAGGCACCCTGCGCAGGCAGAGGCGCTCTCCCAACAAAGTCGTTCAAGGTTGCTTAGGAGCCATGCCGGCATTTCTTGGAATACATTTACTCTCCTCTGCTTTTGGACATAAAAACAGGACTTTCATGGAGACAAATGACAGAGTCCTCTAAAGATAGCTATTATCTTTCTCTTCCTGGGTCTGTTACCTGTGTGGTATCCTGCTTTACACCAAATGGGAAAAAATAGAGGGGACAATATATGGAGGACGTCGCTGGGGAGACAGGTCCCCGTCCATGGTGTGGCACTCTGCTCTCCTGACGTGGCTCGCTGATGTCACTACGGCAGCCCACCGTGGTACATCCCAGCTCCTGTGCCGAGGGCTTGAATATTGGGAAACCCGGCCTGGGGTTGGCCTTAGAAGACGGATGGCAGATAGGATTTGGGGCAGTCTTCGCTTAAAGGCAGTATGCATGGGGTCTTTCTTCTTTGACTGCTCGTCACAACAGGAAAGCTTTCTTCCTGCTGCCCGAGGGCAGGACCCTGCAGCTGTGGAGGGACTGTGGACACCTCCAATAAGGGCTACTAGGAAATTGTCAACTTGTAAAAAATAGACTTTTAACAGTGAGGACGTGAATGTTTACGAAAACTTGTGCTGTCTTGCAGAATTGGTTTGGCATCCCTTGCAATATTGTCTTGTTTAAATTTTCCAAAAGCATTTTGCCTTTGGGAAAGCCCTATAGGGGATTAGGCATACAGTATTTTCATCGCTTCAGGGAGGAAATGTGTACAGTTGCATAGTATCTCCATTGAACAAAACCATTGATGTGAGAAGATACAGTACGGGCGCTGAAACTTGCTCTTTCGATTGCGCAGGTGGCCATCCCCATTGAAGACGCCAATCGCAGCCACCTTCGGTTTACCTTCCGCCACAGGTCGTCACAGGACTGTGAGTAATCCCTTGACTTTAGCCTGTGTTGCTTGCAAGGGAAAGCTAGGGCAAAGCTCCGTAGGCTGCACTTGTCACTTGTTCTGGATTGTTCTGCATTGTTCTAGGACTAGGTGATCCTAACACGATGTGGTCTTAATCCTTTAGCTCATTTCCATGTTGACCTGTTTCCTCTCTTCCGTGTGACTTGTAACACTGTTCCATCCATCCGAAAAGTCACAAAGATACAAGTGGATTTCAGAAATTGGCTCTTAATGCCATTTGCATTGGAATGGAAACCCTCGAGACCCGTTTTGTGTTTGTGGGCGGCCCCCGGTGTCTGGCTTCAGGCTGAGGGGAGATGTTGGCGTAGGGCTGACTGATGCTGAGAAGCTGGGAGGGAAGACCTGGGGTTTGGGTCCCTGTCCTTCCAGAAGAGTTCTTTATTGATGACTGGAGTTTGTCTTGTCACGTTCATTAACGTCTGCTAAGGACGTAGCCCTGTGCTAGACACTAAGACATCACGACGGGCAGCTATATGTCTCCCTGCCCTTCATGGTCTGTACCTACAGGGCAGTGAGCTAAGATTTAATGAACAATAAGATTGGCTACATTGTGTGTGCTGTCGCTTTGAGGGAAAGAGTGGTCTGGAGGGCTGTGTTTGTCACGGACACCCCCGTGGGGGCCACTTGGATGGAGGTCCTCTGCTCTGGCTCTCTGTGTCCTCACAGATGCTTCATCTGGAGTATAAATGCCCGGGGGTCTTGACCAAGCAGGATGGAGGCTGTCGAACCCATGGCACAATGCCTGGCATAGGGGAGGGGCTCCTCAGAAGCCACTGCTGTGCGGTGATGTGTCCATCCTTCGTGCTATTTTTGGAAGGGGGCCTGCCTGACGTAGGCCCTTGCCAAGGTGTGGGACCTGCAGAGGTAGGGGTGCAGGACAGCGAGTATATGTGCAAAGGCTTGAAGCTGGGGAAGGTAGACCCCACTGTGGGGCCAGCGAGGAGCCGGGACCCCACTGTTGTTGAGAAGCATTGGGGAGGCGTGTTCTTGTGGTCCGCAGGGCTGGTGTATGGAGAGCACGCATATCAGCAAAGCTTGGGAGGGGGTGGTAGAGGCCACAGGGGCGAAAGAACCAAGGGATCGAGATAGTATGGGGTCCTTCGTGGTAAGCGGGTGTGTGTGTGGGGGGGGCAGGTGGGTCTGCAGCATCATTCCACCACCTGCCCCGTCCTGTTGTCTCAGCAGAGCAGGGCCCTAGCTAATGAGGGGTCGGGGTTCAGGGAGAGTGGGAGGAGCGGGGTCATGAGGGCTGGGCAGCGTGGGAAGCAGTCCCCAACCACCGCAGACTTGCCTGATGGCCAGAGCCAGCCCGCCAGGCGGCAGGCCAGGGTCTGCTGATTATGCATGGCACTCCTCGATGGCCAGAACTTTGGGGTAAGAGCAGCGGCTCATAAATGTTAGCTAACATTCATGTGCTCTTACTGTGCCGTTTGGATCTGCCCTCACCCACAGTGACCCCATGTACTGTCGCTGTGGTCATTGCTCCACACATTATGGTGGAGGAACCTGAGGCTCCCAGACCCCAGCTCAGTCCCCCAAGGTCACCCAGCTAGTCAGTGAGGGGGCTCGGGTTCAGACCTCGTCTGTGTGCTTGAGTGTCCCACCCCCACACCTGGGGGGCGTGGTGAGGCCTCTTCCATTCTCTGGTCTTAATTTAGTACCTGCTGTCTACACCTCACAGAGAAGGTTCTCTTTCCAAACTTCAGTTTGAGTTGAGGTGTGGGGTCAACCTGGGAGGATTGTGGAATAGTAGGCAGAGGTGTGGGGTGAACGGAACAGCGTGCATGGATGGGGGACACTCGGGCATGTCTTTCCTCGGCCAAAGCATAGAGGGAGTGGTGGGCCGGGCAGCCTGCACGAATGGAATAGCCGGGGGTGGGAGCGGGCTGCAGGGAAGAAGGTGGGAGCCCTGGAGGGCAAGGACAGAGTTCTGGAATCCACAGAAGACTTGTCTCAAAGGCATGCTCGCCCTTTACAACAAGCTTGTTCTCTCTGGTTAATAAATTACATTAGGGCAGAGGAATATCTTCTGTAGCATTTTAATTTTCAAAATCCTTGTTTTTCTAGTCAGTTTTAAGTACTCATTACTGACAAGATGCTGTCACCCGACACACCACCACACATTTGCATAAGTAATGAGGCTCCCTGGCCATGGCTTGTGCGGTTTTGGAGCCGTGTGGAGCACAGCAGTGTGGGGCTGACGCAGTCCTGAGCTGTCTGCTCTGGGAGTGACTGCATCCACTGGGGCCTCCTCAGCCTCCCTGGATGTGGACACGCGGGGTCAGAAACAGGAGGAAGTGAGGCCACATTGCCCGTCCCCCCGGCCCCCTGCAATGAGCTGCTTTTCCTATAAAGGGAGGTGAGCAGAGGGAACAAGTGATGGGATTTCTCAGGCGGGGATCCATCCCGGTGGGAAGTTTGGTGCTGATGTGATAGACGCTCCAGCAACTCGTTAGCCATTCCAGATGCATCCGCTCCTGTTTCACCCGAACTTGAGCGGCTTTGTGGCTCCGGTCCAGCCGGCCAGGGGCCAGTTTCCCAGGCTCGTAGGGGGCCTGGCTGGGTGGGGCCGCCCTGCCTCATGTGCCCTCTGCGTCCTGTAAAATTGTTGTCTACTCCCAGCGGCTGCTAATGAGCCATAATAACTGCAGCCCGTGGCCTCGAGGTAAAGGTATAGAATGTTAATAAAAGGTGCACGATGTTATTTGTGCTAATTAATAGTAGGATCAGGGGAAGCCGTGCGCTGACGGTGATGCTCACGTGTCCTTTTGAACCACGGCTGCTTTCGTGGAGCCAGGTCTGTATTTTTTTCACATCAGCTCAAACTTAGAAGGATCTCTTCTTTCTCACCTGAACATTATGGTAGTTTATGTTTTCTATGCCCTTTTGCAAAGTTATTATTATTATTTTGATTCCTAGGATACATACTTTTTTGCCTTCATCCCTCCCTTTATTTTGGTTGGTCAATCATTCCTTCATCTTTCTAATTAGCTAGCATTTATTGAGTACCTACTGTGTGCCAGGTACTGATGGACACCAGGACTGCATGGATTAACGAGACGTGTTATCTTGTGCAGTGGTGGTGATTTGGGGTAAATATTTTTGAGCCTCTGACTCAAGGTGCGTGGATGTGCTCCTTCCTTCCTTGACCTCTATCTTTTCATCTCTGTCTCTCTTTTTTAAGATTTTATTATTTGAGAGAGAGAGAGGGAGAGCACGGAGGGAGAGGGAGAGGGAGAAGCAGACTCCCCGCTGAGCAGGGAGCCCGACGTGGGACTCGATCCCAGCACCCTGGGATCATGACCTGAGCCGAAGGCAGAGGCTCAACCAGCTGAGCCACCCAGGCGCTCCTCTCTTTTCATCTCTAAAAAGAGAATGTGGGATATATAATTTTAAAGATGATACAGCTCTGAAACTCAGTGTTTCCATGCTGTACTCAGTTGCATCTTGCAGAATCCATGCAGAATCTACTTCACCAGTGGAGACTCCTTAATCTCCCTCCTGGGCTGGCCCCTGGCCCGCTCACCACCCACTGCTCACCAGCCCTCTGGCTCTCTGTCCCCAAGGGGCCAAGCCTGGGCCCACTCAGGGACTGCCTTTGGCCGTGTCTGTTCCGGGAAGGTTCACGCACAGGCTCCCATGTTCTCCCATCTTCTCAGACACCTTGTCCAACCATCCAGCCACTCGTTCCTGTTCCCACCATTCCCCATCTCACACGTCCCTGTCACCAAGTGAGAGCACCAGTTAGTTGGCATCTCCCCAGCTAGAACAAACGTTTACCAAGTACCTAATAGATGGCAGACACTGTTGCAGGCACTGGGCGAAGAGCAGTGACAAAGTGTGCGGTTCACGTGCCCACACGCATGCTCGCTCACCTGGTGACCTGGCAGGGATCAGGACTGTCCTCTCGGTTTGCTCGGGCAGCTGTAACACAAGAGACTGCGGGGGCTTGAACAACAGAAATGTATCTTCTCACGGTTCTGGAGGCTGGAGGCTGGAGGCTGAGGGCAGGGCGCCGGCACCCCGGTTTGTGGTGGGGATGCTCATCCAGGTTGTGAACTCAAAGCGGAGGAGAGCTTTGCTGTCTCTTTCTCCTTTTCCGGAAGGCACTAGTTCTGCGGGATCAGTGCTCCCCCCTTAGGAACTCACTACCCTCAGGCCTCTTCCTACAGGCTGCATCTTCACTGTCGTCACATGGGGAGGCTTAGGGTTCCAGCACCAGACTGCGGGGGGCACGCAATTCAGTCCACAGCAGTTATGAAGAAAAACGCATCAGGGGAGGGGAGAGAGTGTGACCAGGTTATAATTTGCTGTGTTAGATGGTCTGGTCACCTCGGAGCAGGTGATCTGTCAACCGAAACGTGAATGAACGGGAGGTACTGAGTCCTCCCCAACATCCAGGTATCTGGGGGAGGCGCTTTCTTGCCAGAGAACAAAATTTCACATTCGTATGTTCACTCCAGCTGAATTTATACTAGTGGATGCCATGAGGTAGGAATCTGTTCTGCTTTTCCATATTGATAGCCAGTTTTCTCCGGGAATGGCCTGTCCCTACTGCACTGCTCTTCACCTTGTGTTTCCAGACCCTGTGTGTGCACACACTCTGTGTGTCCCCGATGTCAAGCCGCACTGTGGTCTTAGCGGTCACTGCCCAGTCACTGCTGGTTTCTAGGTTTGCAGAGTTCCCCCTCCCCCCCATGCTCTCCAGCACCCTTCTTCTGCTCTGGACCTTGGGAATCCGTTTTCATGTTCCGTGAGGAAACTCTTCCATGAGATTCTGATTGGAATTACTTGGAATTTACAGGTTAATTTGAACACCACTGGTCCCGTTAAGAGGAGTCTTCCTCCTAGTGAACACTCCCATTTTTCCCATTTCTTTCTATTTAATTCCAATGCAGTTTTGTCATGTTTTCGTAAAGGTAGCCCTGGTAGTTTTTTATGTGATACTGCCATGACGGCGGTTGAAGATGATGATTGATTTCTCTTGCAGCCAAGGACAAATCTGAGAAAATATTTGCACTGGCCTTTGTAAAGCTGATGAGATATGATGGGACCACGCTGCGGGACGGGGAGCATGATCTCATCGTCTATAAGGTATACCGCTTGCTTGGGGCCGTATTGCCTGCAGGGACTGCTTCACTCCTCTCTGGGACTCCTCGCCTGAGCTGACGTTTCCTGTCTTTGTGAGAAAGCTGCTCTCTCGCTACACTTAGGTATCCGAATGCACATTTCAGATGACCGGCCCTTTTGCTGGTCCTAATGAGAGAGGATGATGTGCAGTACACGTTAACATGAATGAATCCACAAGAATAAGGGAAATCATTAAACAGTTTTGCAAATGATAAAGAGCAAATACCATGATGGTTAAAAGGATTAAGGATAGCAAGAATTAGATGTCCTTGATTGTGACCGACGTGCTCGTAATTCAACCCACAGGCAGAGGCGAAGAAGCTGGAGGACGCTGCCACGTACTTGAGCCTGCCCTCCACGAAAGCAGAGTTAGAAGAAAAGGCCCACTCGGCCACGGGCAGGAGCATGCAGAGTCTTGGGAGCTGCACCATCAGCAAAGACTCCTTCCAGATCTCAACTCTCGTGTGCTCCACCAAACTTACCCAGAACGGTGGGTCTGGTGATGGCCCTGTGTTCCCCCCGCAGTTTTCCTCCCTCTACCCCGTCCTTTTCCGGCTCCCCGGCCCGCTCTCCGCCCCACGCGTCCTCTGTGCTCTGTGTGCTGGTGCTCGCCGGCATGGGTGTCCTTGGACCAGAAGGGGGCGTGGCATCCACTGCACTTGAAAGTTCACTACAATTTTGGTTTATTAAACATTAACCTTAATGAGAGATAAACCATTGGGTTTGCTTTCACAGGTTTTTGGCCAAAGGAAGGTAGCATGGCTTAAGGGAAAACACGGGATTTGGAGTCAGACCAAAGACCGGGTATGGAGCCCTTGCCCTGTGCTCACCCTGGAAGTGACCTTGAGTGAGGGCCTGTGAAACCGAACTTCACTTTCCTCATCTCTGCACACATGCGGATGTGATGTCTGCCTCAGAGGGCTTCGTGAGGGTGTGGGGGTTACACATGCTGGAGGATCTGAGATACCCGCTCTGTATGTGTGCCTTCCTATCTCCCAGCTACTCACGGAGATAGTTGCCAGTTATCTTTACTTTTAAACGTTGGTTTGGATGACATTTCTAGTTCCCTGGCCGATTGAATCACACAGAAGCGTGGTGTCGGGGTGCCTGACGTCCTGTGCCGGGCCGGCTGGGCTGCCTCATTACCACTGCTTGCAGACTCCCGAGCAACGTGGCCGTGCGGCCCGGGGCCCGTCTTACTCACTGCGTGCTGTCTGGAGCAGCAGAGGCCCCTCTGCGCACTTCCTGCATTTACAGATTGCATCCCCCAAATGTGGCCGTAGCACAGCTGTGCAGAGAGACTTGATCCTCTCTTGAAACTCAGCTTGAAAATCCAATTTTTCCTCTTCACCACCCAATATGGATTTTGATTATTAATGTTTGTTGGTATCTTCAGTTGTGTCTCTGGGGATTGTCCGTAAATCTTGGCAGTAGTCTCGGAGTTGTCTGAGGGAGAGTCGTTGTTTGGACTCTAACAGGGTAAATGCGGGACAAAGGGACCCCATCATCAGGAAGCCATGGCATTGGAGTGGAGAGCGGGCTGGGTGTTCCCAGTCTCCGTGCCTGCTGTCTCCCCTGTGTCCTGCCGGCCTGGACAAAGTGTGCTTCCTCACCGCTTCTCCTGAGTCAGCTGTGTGGGGGAACGTGTCACTCAAATGCGGGAAGGCCATTTGGACATGTCTCTCTAATGTTATCTTCATCATCACGGTGGCCCGAAGTATTTTGAATTCTCCTAGCTGGTGGTGTGCAGTCATCTCCATAAGCAAATGCAAACCCTTACCTGGGCATTGGGTTCTGTGCAAGTGTGGGGAGGGCTGCAGAATGCACCGGGAGTGTGCAACTTCCGTGCCCAGGGAGCATGTGGTCAGCAAATCAGGTGCCGGTTTGGGACTGTGTTATGGAAGGGGTGCCCCACAGGTCAAATGTTACTCTCTGGATGTGGTCCTGCGAGTTCCCTAATCTGACGGCTACACCGTCCAGGGCCTCAGTGAACTCAGGGCAACGGCAGCCTCACCGGTAAGTCGCTACCCCATACGTGTGGCACTTAGCTTTTCATTACGTGCCGGACAAATGAGAGGTGCTGTGTATTGCCGTTCCCTTTATGTAGGAAGCCACCCATCTTATGCATGGGTCATGCTCCAGAAATATGTTTGGAAGTTGTTATTTGGAACTTGAATATATTTTCCCCATCAAAACAATGTTCGGAAGAGCAGTTAGGTTGGGAGGCCCGCCCACAGAATCTTTCTTAACCCACGGATTGTTGTAGAAGGGGACTGTGAACCAGAAATCTCCGAAGGTATTAAGTAGCAGCAATCGCCCAGGGGTGTGATGTCGACCCCTCGCACCTCCCAGCTCCTTGGCTGTCATCAGTCACAGGGTGATTCCCTCCCTGGAACTGAGGGAATGCGCACCCTACTCTCCGAAGCAGCTGTTGCCCGGCAACAAGGAAATTCCAGGGTGATGCTGCTCACCGAGAATCAAGGGGACATCTTTTGGCTTTCACTGCACAGCAGCCAATGATTCCTCTTCTTGGGATGGCGCTGTGGCAGGTGGTATTGCGAGATGGAGCTGCCCCACTTGGCCTCTGAGCAGTGAGTCCCAGATTCTCATTCTGGGAGTCATTTTTCTGCGTCGTGATTTGTTCCTGAGAAGTTCCATTACTTAGGGAAAAGCGGTGGCTGAATTGTTCATCGAGGTTTGTATTAAACATCTCTGTTCTCAGCATTACTGGATGCCGTGGGGGATAAAATGAGAAGTATAGGATGTGATTCCTCTCCTCAATTAGCTTCCCAGGTAATTAGAGAGAAGTCACAAAACACGGAATGACCATGGGCTCCCCGGAATGAGGACTGGGTCGGGGAGCGCCGGTCTGACCCGGGTAGCCGGGGCGCTGGTCAAGCTCTGTTTTCTTAAAACACACCCCCTCCTCAGAGGCCTTCTTCCACTGTTCATTTGCCAGTTGTACGTTTTCTCAGATTTACCTTACAGAGGTCAGCCTCAGCCTCCCTCATACCTAAAGTGCCACTAACTTTGCGTAGATTCCAGATTATTAACCACTTGCCATTAATAAAACAAAACAAAACAAAAAAACAACTCTGGTGAGATGGAAATCTCCCTTAACTCTGGGGCCAAGAGCAGGTCCAGGCAGGATGTGGCCTTTGTCATTACTTCGCCTTCCTTTAGAAAGGAAGAAAATATGTTAATTTTCACTGAGAAATGAAAACATCTTAACTTTCCCCATGAATGGTTAAAATTTTCACTTCTTGATCATCTTGTTGGTGGACGGCTGCTCTTGTCTGGGTATCTTGCCGAGCACTTTCTCCACGTCACACCCTTTAACTCTGGCACCAGCCCTGTAATTCGGCAACGTCGTACTCAGCATTCAGAGAGGTAAACTGAGTTGAGGTTCCTTGCCCAAGGTCGTGGGGTCGTGGCGTGGCCCGGTGTGTGTGTGAGCCTCTTACGTGGTGTTTCAGCTCCTGTCCTCTCTGTTTCCATGGGTCCCCTTGTCAGCTGCACTTGGGGGCTAAGGACAGATAAATAAGAGCAAGTGTTTTGGTGCTCATCCCATGAATAATTCCTTTTGTGTGGTTTAGTCCTTAATAGGTGTTTAGTGTTCCCTGAAATGCTACCTATTGCCAAAATTACATTTTTCTTTTCGATATCAACTAGGGTTTATTTTGTTGTTTTTTTTTTTGTTTTTGTTTTTTTAATGGAGGTACTTTGTGTAGCTGAAGTTTGTTCCCAATGAGCATAAACGGTAAATTGGATGCACTTTGCTAATTGTGTTTTTTTTTTTTCACGTAATGGGATATTAATATAACTTCAAGTGAAGATTGTGTAGGCACATGTTCTTTCCTAGAGATGTTTTGAATTCGGTCTTCATGTCTTCAAGAACATCTTGCTGCCTTAAACAAAATCATTTCTGGACCTCGTCTTCCGCATTTAATCTGTAAAAATCCATCCATTCAGTCTGTGTTGTTTCTGTTAGAAAACAAACGAAACAAAAATTCGGCCATAGAAATGAACAGCCCTGGAAGGCCAGGCCAGGGTGAGGTCAGCGGTTGCCCTGTGGTTCAGGCTCCCTGTGACCTTGCAGTTTCTGTACCTGAAGGTACATTTCTTATTTTATGTTATTTAATTAAACAAAACAAAACAAAACAAAACATGTTCTCAAGAAGGAAAAATCCACTTGGTAGATTTCAGGGAAGCACTTTGTGGGTGAGCAGCCTCCTTCCAGACTCTCTGCTGGGCTGAGTATACCTTCTTGCAGATTGGAGAGGCCAGCCCTTTTTCCTTAAGCTCCTGAATGCATTTTTTAAAAAGATTTATTTATTTATTTGAGAGAGAGAAAGAGGAGACACATGAGTGGGGGGAGGGGCAGAGGGAGGGAGAGAAAGAATCTCAAGCAGGCTCCCCGCTGAGCATGGAGCCTCAGTTCATGGCCTGAGCTGAAATCAAGAGTTGGCCACCCAACCGCCCAAGCCACTCAGGTGCCCCCCGAACACATTTTTAAGAAACTTCAATGTGGAAATCATTTCATGGGAAATGTAGTTAGAAATAATGAATTCAGCCATACTAGGTGTCAAGTATGTTCTAGAACGAAATGAAGTATGGAGCAGCAAATGTTTCCAGATAGGGTTGATTTTTCTGTTTCAAAATTACGTCGAGACCCTCAGCTGCTCCGTGAGGAAGGGAGACAAAGCTGTTGCCGGGAGGAGCTGAAGCTGATTCTGTGTTTTCAGTGGACCTGCTGGGGCTCTTGAAGTGGCGTTCCAACACCAACCTGCTGCAGCAGAACTTGAGACAGCTGATGAAGGTGGACGGCGGCGAGGTGGTGAAGGTAACACGCACCTGGGGGTGCTTGCTCTGCTTTTCTTCCACGTGTGAACGGATCTAGGCACTGCCTCCATGGTAGCGTGGGCCTCTGGTTATAATCGCTCGGACGGATGTGGACATGCACCTGGAAGTGGACAGAGCCGGCTTGGATTCCGGTTGGGAGGGCGGTCTGGCTTCACGGGGTTGGGCTCTGGGATCAGCCCAATCTTGGGTTCTGGCTCCTCTTCTAGTGGATCCTCACTATGGGATGGGCAAAGGTGAAATAACCTCTTCCAGGCCTACTTTCTCTTGCTGTAAAAAGGAGACAGCAGTAATGCCTTCTCGTAGGGTTGTTTGGAGGTTTGTGACACCTGTAGCCTGGACCTGGCACGTGGGGTCGCCAGCATTTGGTCCTGTTCTCATCTTATCAGCATTATTACCATCCGCGTTATTATTAGTCCTGGCTCATGATTCACCTAGGACTTCTGCGATTGACCTGGAGAGGTGGGTGGTGTGGCATGAGGCTCACAGCCCTGGGAGTCCTGTCTTGGCCATTTTTTTCCCGCATGTGATCTTGGACTTATTTCTTAGCCTTACATAGAGCAGGCTCTGGAGAAGTGTCAGGTACCCTCTTGAATTGTTACCTGCAGGGTAAGACAGTGAGACTGGGGTGATGCGAGATACTTTGGAGCGCCCCAGTTCTGTAATTCTTCATTAGCATTAGGGAATTGTTGCTTCTGATGCTAGGCCATTCTTGCCTCTCATTGGCTCAAATGACATTTCCTCTTTTTTTTTTTTAAGATTTTTTTATTTATTAGAGAGAGAGAGAGAGAGAGAGAGGGAGCACGAGTGGGAGGGGCAGAAGGAGAGGGACAGAGAATCTCAAGCCGACCCTGTGCTGAGCGTGGAGCCCGATGCGGGGCTTGATCCCATGACCCTGAGATCACGACCTGAGCTGAAACCAGGAGTCAGACACTCATCCAGCTGTACCACCTAGACGTCCCGACTGTTCCTTTTATATAAGGAAACTCGTTTCCATTTTCAGGAGGCCCCATTTGGCCTGCAGACAATAAGCCTGTCCACACTGGAGGCGTTCTGTGAGCGCCTGTCTGTCCCTGGCTCAGTCCTTCGCCCTCCATGAGAGATGATTGCCGAAGGAGACTGCCTTATCTCTGTAAAAATTAATTACTTAAAATGGCCTTAATTAAACAGCAATGTGGTTAACTTCAGTATAAATTAATTTGGTTGCACCACTTTCTGAAATTCATTGTATAACCATTCAAACATATCCTTGCTAATCTTCTGATTTTAATCATCATCTTTTTTAGGTTCTCGTCTGCTACCTCTGGCTTGGACAATGTTAATTGCATTTTAAACTTCCCTGGGTTCTGTAACTTCCCTGGTTCAGATGGAAACTGGGTGAATAAGTTAACGTAACTTTAGAAGATACACAGTTAATGAGATTTTTGTCCTTTTTCATTTTTCATTTCATTGTCCATTTTCATTTTCATTTTCATTCATACAATCCCTGTATCACATCAGGAATTAGCTGTATTTCTGTTGGCCTATTGTTACACGTTAAGGAGAAGATCTAGGACCATCTTGTCTTATTGCTGTCCTTCACTCCCCTTACCTAATCTATTACCAAACCCTGTTGTTCAGCCCTGGAAATGGTTTTCACCACCCCCTCCTTCCCGCGTGTGCTGGTACCAGCAGGTCTGAATGACCTGTCTGTCCATCGCTGGCTCGTCCTGTGTACCCTGTAGGTCTAGAGAGGTGAATGGACTTGTCTGAGGCCACGCGGCTGTTAACGGGAGCCAGGGTTGGAGGGATTCCCAGCCTGCATGGGGCTCCTTTTACTCTGAGAACACCATAGACTGAGCTTATTCCATTCATTCAAGGCCCCCTCCCACCCTTAGGTATATTTATAACTGGTAGGAGAGAGATGACATGACTTGATGGATTAAGAACAGTATTGACTTATTTAGTAAAAGATACAGTTGCCCATTTTGGTGGAAAATGAAAATGGTGATTATTTTGGGCTTCCAGTGGATAGTCTTCGAGAGAGGGCAGGTGTCAAAAGGAGCATGTTTGTGGCTCTGTGTGTGGGACCTCCTTGAGGAGGATGCTGGTATCCCTGTGCCTCCGAGGCTTGACAGCCAGATGCGGGCAGCTCCCAGTCTCCCTGCCATGTTTCTGGGCTACTGATTATGTCATCTGTCTGCCCGGGATGGGTAGTCCTACTGTAGGGACTCTGTGTGTGAACCGAGACGAGCCAGGGCTTGGCACCTGGTGAGCCAATTGGCAGTAACATCGGGCAGTTAGCAGATGGCGTAAGGGTTTGACCTCTGCAAAGATGTTTACAAACAGAAAATGATGGGAAATAATACAAAAGTAACAAGATGGTGTGGGCCCCCGGTAATTGTGGGCTTGAGGAAGCCCTTGATGTCCAGACCAGAACGGGGGCGGGGGGTTTCATTCCCCTGCTGCTTGTATGTGACACTTCTCTGGCATAAAATAGGTGGTGGGTGGGTGGCAGAGTAGAATGATGGTTTGGGGCACCTGGCTGGCTTTGTCAGAAGAGCATGCAACTCTCAATCTTGGGGTCATGAGTTCAAGCCGTAGGTTGGGTGTAGAGATTGCTTAAATAAATAAAACTGGAGGGAAAAAAAAGAACATAATGAGGGTTTTATGCACCGGTGCGTCTCAGATCTCTAACTAGGTTTGGGAGTACGTTCCCCTTCCTGAGGGAGATCTGTGGCTTTGGGCTTGGGGCTGTTGAAAACTTTCACAGCACAAGAGGTAGCAGTGGGGCGAGCGCTGGTTTAGGGAGCAAGTCCCAGTGGTTTGGTTCCTCGGGCTGAGTGTGCTAACCACTTGAGACCATCTGTGGGGACCTGAGGACCCCTCTGGTTCTGTGTGTTGTGTGCATGGGCTAAACCTTCCAGGAAGAATCTGGAACGGACTTCCCTTTCAGCTGTCTCTTTGACACCCTGGCCGTGGGACCTTCTCACCTATTCTTTGGTTTTGCATAACAGCTTCACTGAGATACAATTCACACACCATCAAGTGCACTCTTCATTTGCACTGTTGCATGGTGGTAGTATATTCAAGAGTTGGCGCAACCATCTCCACTATCTGATTCCAGAACATTTCCATCATGAGAAAAAAAAATAACCCTGTAACCTGTCCGCAGTTACTCCCTACTGTCCCTGCAACCGTAATCTACTTTCTATCTCTATGGATTTGACTATTCTGGATTATTTTATATATAAATTGAATTAGACAGTCTGTAGCCTTTCATGCCTGGCTTCTTTCAGTTAGTATTATAATGCTTCCAGAGCACAGTGTGCCATGTATCAGAACTTCATTCCTTTCTGTGGCTGAATAATAAATATTCCAATGTATGGATTTGTTCTCCCATTTGTCAGCTGGTGGACATTTGGATGTTCGCCACATTTTGACATTTATGAGCAAAGCTGTCGTGAATAATTGTGTACAAGTTTTGGTGTGGACATATGTTTTCCATTCATTTGGATACATACCTACGAATGGTTGCCCATGCGGCCAACATAACATTTAACCCTTTGAGGATTTGTCACACTGTTTTCAAAACCATAGTACTGTTTTACTTTTCCACCAGTGATGTGGAAGGGCTCAGTTCCCCTGAGTCCTTGCCCACACTTGCCGTACTGCTTGTGTCTTGATGATAGCTTTCTCAGTGGCGGTAGGTCATATCTCACTGTGGTTTCAATTTGCATGTCCCTAATGACTCATGATGACATACCTATACTTTATTCTCTTTTATGTCCAGTATTCTTTCATGTGGCCTTCTGCCTTTCCTTGAACTCCTCCACAGACCGGGAACTCATTACCTCCAAGATAGTCTTCTTGGTCTGTCTTACGCCTCTTCTGGGGGAAGATGGAGATAGGATCGGAAGGCAGTTTCTAGTGTGACATAACTTTGGAGTCTCCTAATTTTTTCTTTCCTTAATTAATTCATGATGGTTTGTCGTTCTGTGCTCTCATATTTGTTTGGTGAATTACAGTAGGCTATAAAAGAAATTTCTGAATCCCTCTTGAATAAAACGTGCTTCCTGGTGTTCTGCTGGGTGCCCCAGTTTCAGTCACACAGCTCTTCCGTCTGTGGGCATCTGGGTTTGTGATAGGTCCTTCATTATACTCAGCTGGACATTCATCCCTGTGTGGCTTCTGCCCACTCCCTTGCTCAGATCCTACACTCAGAGTTTGGGATTAGGCAGAGCCAGCCTTCCGAGAGCTGCTGTTGAGCTCTTTGTCACCAGACTGGTAAAGACCAGGAAAAGGGTTGGAGAAATTTACGGAGGGGGGACCATAGAGCATTTCCCTGTTACCAGTCCTCCTCTGCTTGGCTCGGGGTGCCATGTCTTTGTTCTGAGTTCACTCATCTCAGTTTTTGTCTTGTGCATCTAATGGCTGGGAAAAGTCCCTGTAGTGTATGGCTTCATTGGTGACATTCGGGACAGGTGGGTGTTTGGGGTATGGCCGAAGATGGTAGTTATTCTAGGTTGGGGGAAAGTGAGGTGAGTTTACTGTGTCTGCTGACATTTTGTGTGACTCTAGTTCCTCCAGGACACCTTGGATGCCCTCTTCAACATCATGATGGAGAATTCCGAGAGCGAGACGTTTGATACGTTAGTGTTTGATGCTCTGGTAAGAGGCCTCTACTTTTCATTCGCTCAGATGTTGAGGAGCTTTTCATGCTGCAGCCTTTGAAGCTGGGGGAGGGGGTCCCTCCCGGTCACCTTGGAAGTGTTTTCCGTTGTAAATCCAATCAAAGCGGATGGGTTGCAAGGCAGAGGGTGGTGTTCACTGGGACACTGTAGTTAGGCCAATGTCATTTCTGGGGTGAGAATAGGGAACGTCAGGAAAATGTTCTAGTCTCCGGTCTCCCACCACGGTGCAGATGATTCAGATGAGGCCTGTGTTATTTTACTAATGAAAATATTGATTAATTGAACAGGTATTTATCATTGGACTAATTGCTGACAGAAAATTTCAGCATTTTAATCCTGTTCTGGAAACCTACATTAAGAAGCACTTTAGTGCAACTTTAGCCTACACGTAAGTTCATTTTTGTTGTTTTAAAACCAATACTTCATTTTGTAGGTTTGTTACTAAGTGCCTTTTTCATATACTTTTGTCTGTGGTTCTGTATGTGCCCCCTGCCCCCAACTCTGAATTTACTGGGATATTTTTTATTATTGTTTCCCTCTTAACAGACCTAGAAATCTTGTTGAAAGAAGATATGTAATAAATTATCATAACATTCTGGGATAAATTCTTGTTCTCCTCCATACCTTCCATTTGTCTTTGAAATTTTTAGTTTATGCTCAGTGAACCTGATATATGCCTCCCTGCAGCTTCCCAACCAGATTTTGGCAAATGAATAAATGGATGTGTTCCTGGTTTGAGGTTATTGGTTGTTTAGTATGAATAAAATTCAGTTTTGTACCTCTTAGTGTCTCCTTTTGCTCTTTAAAGAGGGCCTTCCTTTTTGTTCTAGACGCTTCAGCTATAACTAACTTGGATTCTAACTGCCCACCCAGTTGCCCTTGACCTGCCCCCACAACCCCATACCTGTCCCCTGGGCATCTGTCAGCAGCCGGAGCAAATGTGGGATTTTCAGACCTGCGAGGCGGCTCTCCTGGTGTTGACCAGCACCATCCAGGAACTCGGCTTCACCTACAGCTCTGTCGCTTACAAGTTCAAGTCTCTTAATCTCTCTGGGCCTTAGCCTTCTCCTCAGTAAACAGGCATGATCTTAGGGTTTCTTCAAAATGTTAATGAGTTATTACATGTTAAGTGTTTGAAGTAATCCTTGGCACTTAGAAAGCACGAAGCAGTTGTTAGGTTTCATTATTATTAGAATGGTTAGGATGAGTTACTCTGCCTCTGTCACAGTGGGATTTATCAGCATTTATTCCAACTTTGAATCGTGTGTGAGTTGCAATGAAAAAAGATGTAAATAATTTCTTTAAGAACATCCCTCCCCTTAGAATCACTAGAAATGGTTCTCTTTAGTGCCAGTAGCTTGAGTCAAAGCTCAGATGTGCCTTGACCGTATTTAAGTCAGAATCTGTTTCCTTGCCTGTATGCGGCCATGAACTCAAGGTCAGAGGTCTGATGCTAGCTATCTGTGTGATGTTGGTCATCCTGTTCCAGGCTCTTTCACGTCTGCCTCGCGTGGCTGAGTGGGCAGAGAGCTGCCGCGTCCTCACGCACACAGAACAAGCTGCGACAAGTCCTTTGGGCTTGCTAATAAGTGTTTAAAGCGATTTGTTCTCTTCATGGAAACGTTCAGTGTGACTGCACTTTGGACAGTTCCTTTCAGATCATGGGCGCCATCTTGCTATGGCGACCAAGCAGGGTTCCCCGGAGTGGCCTGTAAGTGGCTCCTCATGTGGCACGATCTCCCTCCGAGTCACATGCCACATGTCTGTGTCTTTATTGAAATGTGGCCACACTGCTCTTCTCAGATGAGCTTTTGTATTGGAATTTCAGAGAATCCGCACAGTGGGTAAGCTTGCCATGCTGTCTTCCAGACCTTCTGTTGGCACCACTCTCTCTGTGCCTTTGTCATAGGTGGTGAAGTGAAAGTTGGGGAGTCTCTGGCAAGTTACTGAATGGAAGAAACAAAGAGTACTGCTTCATCTTTCAGATAGGGTGGGACTGAGCCGAGAATCCATATCCTCCTGTTCGGCCCCTGTAATCTGCAGGAAGGGAGATTCATTTTGGAAAATAACTATCCTTATCATGTTTTGATAAAGTAGCAACCCTAGGTGCTTCCTTGGCAGTGTGAATCTGAGTATTTAAGCCTTGAAATACCAAAAGAGATAATTCTGATTCACACAGCTCTAACCAAATCGTGGAAGGTTGTCTCTGTGTTAATGGAGTGCTCATGGCGGTCTCTGGGCCGGAGGATGCTCTGGTAGTAAGGATCATCACGGAGGGTCTCCTGGCCGCTGCCCCTTAGAAGCCTCGGCAGGCACAGATGTAGGTGAGACTCTCTCCCAGATAGTTTCTTTACCTCTTTCCTTGGATAATGTTGAGATCTTCAGCCTTTCTCCACAAAGAACTCTTAAGAGAAGAACTGAAAGGTGCCTGGGCTGTAGCTGTTACCTGCCAGTGTTCCGGCACCCCTGCACAGGTGGTGCGGACGCCAGAGCCCCAGGAGAGCGACAGGTGCTGGTCCAGGTGAGAAGGGAGGGTGGCATCAGCTTTGGGGACTGTTCTTCCAGAAAACCAGCAGGGGCAGGCTCCTTTCTGTCCACAGAGCTGCTTTTCCTGGGAGCTGGCTTAGGTCATGCCTCTACCTAACTGACGCTCCATTCGGTCTCCCTCACAGCTGGTGCCAGGGGCTTGATCTTTCTGCCAGTACAGGTGGTCTGGCTCATGTGGATATGGGTCTTTGGACTTCCTCATTTATTTTCTGGTTCTGGGTCATTCTCTTCACAGATCATTCCTTTCTTTGTATCTGTCTATCATCTGTCTATTTATTTTTGATGAATCTGTTGGGAAAATTCCTAAGCTGTGCTCAATGGAATATATATTTCTTGGGATATCCATGGGTTTAATAAGAAAGGGTGTCTGGTCAGTAAGCTTGAGAAAATAAGTTAAATCAGGTGAAACAGGTTGTATGGCAGGACTTTAGATGTTCTCCCGTGCCTTGAGAACTACCAGAAGACGTGTGGGAGCCCAGGGAGCCTGTGGGGGGAGGACCTCTCTGGCCCCCTTCTTCCCAGCACCTTGCAGGGATGCTCCTCTGAGAGTGTCAGGCTTCTTTGCTAGGGTTCTGCAACCTGATGAGTGTTAGAAATGACTTCGCATCCACTTGGTCACCCAGGAAGCTCTTTGTTGTGATTTATCAGGACAGGGATTGCGCTCAGGACTGTTCTGAGGTCATCCTTAATGCCCGTTACAGGTGCTCTTATGGGTATCTTATAATAGTCTCCACTAACAGTCTGTTGTGGACAGGCTCACAACTTAGCTGGAAATGTTGGCAGTGCCCTAACAGGTTATTTTTATAAGTATAATGGAGAGTTCTTGTTGAATGACATGAACCACTGGGGATCAGAGAAGTTTGGTTAATGGGGTAATCTTGGTTGTTGCCACACAGGCAGCACATACGTGGCTAGTTTTTGGAGAATTATAGTGCAGCCCAGTACACTAAAGCCAGAAGCTATATTGAAGTTAATTTAGCTGTTCTTTTATGATTTGGAAGCACTGCTTGTGGGTCAGCCTTATGAACAGTGAACAATGATTATTAGTTTATGGGCCAGTAACAGTAGAAAAATGTAGAAGTTTGGGCAGAATTAAAAATTGATTATTGTCACTGCTGCCTCTGTCATGGGAAAATGATAGAGGCGGCTCGATGTCGAAAAAAGAAAAGCATTGCAAACATGGATATGGCTATGAAGAAAATGCCTTCAATTTTATTTAATGTTGGGAAAACTAGTTTATCTGTCTAACCCTGGGCTTCTTCACTTGTAAATTAGGGATAATATACCTGTTCTTATACCCCATTATTATTATTGTACCCCAAAATAATACTTGGCTTACTGTGTTATTATGAAGGTTAAATTATATAATACACTTAAATGCTTAGAAAAATACGTAAAACTTAGAAAAGCACTTTTTCAATGTTGGGCTCTCACTCCTGAGTGTTATTCATGGCTCATTTTTCATCTCTTTCAAGTATATTTTATAAATACGCATCTACTGACAAGTGTGAGCCAAAATAACAATAAGGCACTTGTGTATTTCTGTCCCAGTTAAGAATTGAGATACTGTAACCCTATGAACTTGTTAATTAATTTGTGATTCCATTGTGAATAGGAAGCTGACAAAAGTTTTAAGGAACTATGTGGACAATGCCGAGAAGCCAGGAATAAACGATCAGCTGTACAAAGCCATGAAGGCTTTGGAGTACATCTTCAAGTTCATTGTGCGCTCCAGGATTCTTTTCAATCAGTAAGTGTTGCCTGTGCTGGCCCTTCTAGGGGATTTTAGGAGATCTTTTACTTCCTTCCTTTTCCTTGTCTATTTCCCTCCCTCCTTCCCTTCCGCTCTTCTTTTCTTTCCTTGCCTTGCTTTCTGGTATGACAGGACAGTAATAGATAGCCGTCCCATGTTGGGGTTGCCCTCTCTTAGGGTAACTGCTTCCCGGTCTATGAAATGCAAGCTCAAGTTTGAGCAGCAAGTCCTGTTCTCAAGTCTGGAATTTGTGCATGTGAGTAAAACACTGACTGTTGAAAGTATTCCGTGTTCATCAGAGGTAGTGCAGGGTGTATACAAAGGTTCTGAAGTTCATTTCAGTATATCTTCCTACAGAAAAAGCCTCCCAAGAGCAAACAGTTAAAACAAGCAACGATAACAAAAGGCCAAAACCAAGTTAAATTGCCTCCCTTGGGAAGACTGTGGGGCTTCCTCTCTTTCTTTCCTTCAGCCAGAATAATATTTTGTTTCTAGAGAGATACTCTCACATGAGGAATTGCCGGGTGAATGGACGCTTAGTTGTTTAGCTCGGTGAATTCTTTCTCATCCTCTCTGGTGGAGTTTTTGCATTGGTTTTGAACTTTAAAGTGGATTGGGGTGCTGATGACTTTCTTATTTTCTAGAGAACATTAATGTTCGTCCAGGTACCTGTGATTAAGAGCTGGGCTAAAGTCAGGGCTTTCAGGTGGCCCATAGCATGTAACTGTGCACGAAGAGATGTGGAAGCAGGACAGGTTGAGTGTTGAGTGTTGATGTGGACTCTCACTGCTTGTTTCTTCGGAAGGACAGCTGCTTTGGGTGACCTACTGTGAGTGATGTTGGTTCATGTTGATCATTCAAGGTTGATGTTCTTGTCGTGAGTTCTACACACAGAGATGGAGTTTCACAAACTGACCTCCCTTTCACTTAGAGGACACACACCACCTTTTAACAGCGTAGTGCTCTTGAAACTCATGCGTGGAAACTGGTCATTGAACCAGTGTAGACCCAAATCAGGCCCTCGCTGTGCCTCTTCATTTTTATCTTTGTTGGCCTGAGGTGGCTTTCTCCAGAAGGGCCCAGGAGAAAGGGAGGGTATTCAGAATCCAATCTTGTGCACACCATGGTGCAAATAAAGCCAGAGGAGCAAGTTATTGACTGTGTAGATCTGGAAAAGTCCTACACAGGGTAGGACCCACCTTGGTTACAGTGGTGATGAATGCCTACAGTCCCTATGTTACTGGTTAAGGATTATTGCACTTGTGTTCTCTGTGGAGTCGACATGATGTAGACAAGTCTACGCTGCCATTTGATTGTATGAAGACACAACAGCTTGAGGTCATCATGCTGTCATCCTTGAGTAAGGCATTGAAGGCATCCTCTTTTATTTTGCTAATTATGGGTAGGCATGAAGCTTGCTGTAGACTGAGCTTTCTCTCTTTTTTTTTTCTTTAAGATTTTATTTATTTATTTCACAGAGAGAGAGAGAGAGAGAGAGAGAGAGGGAGAGAACAAGCAGGAGCAGGGGGAGGGGGAGGAGCAGAGGGAGAGGGAGAAGCAGACTCCCTGCTGAGCAGGGAGCCTGATCCAGGGCTCCATCCCAGGACCCTGGAATCATGACTTGAGCCGAAGACACTTAACTCACTGAGCCACCCAGGCGCCCCTGAGCTTTCTCTTTTCTTTAGGGTCAAAGCCATTGATGATTTTCCCACTGTCAGTTGTGAAAGATGACCAAGTAAAGTAGGTTTTGTTTTCCTGGATTTTATTTTTTTTCCAATAAAATTAATTCTATTAAAATGAACTTCTTGGCACCCTTTATCTAGCTTTTGTGTATTTCCCCACGAATTTTAAATCATTAATTACTCTAAACCAAAATCTACACTACCGTGAGAGCATGAACTTGAAAGAACAGCATAGTCGGGTGATATGTATAGATTTTGTCATGTTTTGTTTGAAAGAATCTTAATCTTGTACAATTTATAATCGATATGACACTGAGTCAGGAGTTGGATGATGCTCATTTCCTTCTTGAGCACACTGCTGACTGTCCTCATTCAGAGATTAGGAATCAAAAGAAACATGCATTGATAATCTGTGTTTTTGTTATTGTAGTAAATGCTATAATCCTTTACAAAATAATGCAGCTAGAAAAGATTGGGGTCGTCTAAGTGGACCAGTGGCGAAGTTATTTCTTTCTCTTAATCTCTTTCAGTCTCTAAATACAATTGACATGATATCTTAGAACCATGGTCCATAAATGTAGAATTTTTTTTTTAAGATATTTATTTATTGGACAGAGAGAGACACAGCGAGGGAGGGAACACAAGCAGGGGGAGTGGGAGAGGGGGAAGCAGGCTTCCCGCGGAGCAGGGAGCCTGATGTGGGACTCGATCCCAGGACCCTGGGACCATGACCTGAGCCGAAGGCAGACGGTTAACGACTGAGCCACCCAGGCGCCCCATAAGTGTTGAATTTGATCAGTCTCATAGAGGTTAGGAACATGATTGACTGCTGTTATAGAAAAGCCTGGCTTAATGTGGCTTAATGAGATGAGCTTCACTTCTCCCCACCCGTGTATGTAACATGGTGCCCAGAGGAAGATTCCGGAGTTTATGCAGTTGGTCCCTGGTTTCCTTATGTCCTTGGCTCCTATTACCCTTCTGCCCCATCATCCTTATTGGTCCATCTCTGTGTCTTATGGCCCCTTCCTGGCATCAGGACTGCATTCCAAGCAGCAGAGGGGGGAAGGTGTGGCATAAATAGCCTTCCAGTTACTCTCCTTTTGAAGAACTTTCCCAATCCCTATAAAGTGTCATCTCAGAACTATGTCACGTGACCACCCGAGATGCAAGGGAGGCTGGCAAGGACTTTTAGATGGGATTATGGATGCTTTCAACAAAATCAGAGTTCTTATAGTAAAGGAGTCAGGGAGAAATATATATCGGACAGGTGATTAGCATTCTCTTCCTTGTGCTTTTAACCTGAATTTCTCTTGCCTGACAGCTCAGAACACCCTTAGCTTATTACTCTGGGTTCCGAAGTCCTACTTAATTAGGCCCCTGAGAGCTTTTCTTGCTGTTAGTTTGGGGGTCAGTCTCTGAAATCACTGGAGCCCTTTGTGACCCAAAGATGCGGTTTGGTCTTCTGTGCTATGCAGAAGCTCACAGATCCTTGCCTGTGACCCAGGGAAATGTTTTATGTTTGGTGTTCTTAAGAATGCCTTTGTTTTGGCGCTGGGTATCATGGTGTTGGCACAGACCTTGATCCTGCTGCCTGCCTTTGTTCTGGAGTGGCCCCAGCGTGAGCCATGGCCTGATCACAAAAGGCGTCTCTTTGCTGGGATAACTTGTTTGTCAAGTTTGTCAAGTTTGTCACGAGCTGACACAGTCCAGGACAAAAGTGCAAAGAGGTCATAAGGCGAGTAACAGCAGTTGCCAAAAGGCAGTGAGGCTTCCTAAGGCTTCCAGGGCCCTTGTCTGGGCATTCCTGACCTCATCCGAATACTGTAGCAAACATGGAAATTTTGATGACGAGGTCCTTCCCTCCCGCCCTTCCTCCCTTGTCGCTTGCTTCTCCCTCCCCTAAGTACTTAATGAGCTTTGGAGCCCTGACTGTATCCCAGACTTTAGTAGTTTATTGACCTTATTTTTTTCCTAATTGCTTCCTAAATGTGTGTCTTGGCTGCCTTCTGTGATTCCTGAGAGCAGAGAGGAACATATGTTCCCTTCAAAACTTAGAACACAGTTGTGTCCACATTGTGTAGATAAGATAATATTTCTTAAATTTAAATCTGTACTCTAAAACTACTGAGAACTCAGATTCTGTGGGAAGGAAAAAATCATGGCCTTCAAATCATGGACCACAGGGCCAAAGACTTGAGTAGGGTCTCATCGTGCTCACCACTACTCCCCATGGTCCCACCAGCTATATTTCAGTAGCTTTTCATCTGTGATTATCAAAGGCATGAATTTTAGATGAAATAATATTCCTGTTTCGTGTAGGCTGCTGAAAGAGAAAGCAGTCCTGTGTCCTACACAGGTGTCGCGAGTGTTTGCTCCATAACAAGTTCCGAGCAGCCCTCCTGTGTGGTGTTTGCAGAGCCGGGGGAGAAAGCAAACAAGGGTCCCCATGTTCTTACCTGTACCCCATTTATTAGCTTGGGAGAAAGAAATTGTTCTCACAGCTCGAGTTGACAAGAGTGTTTTTCTCTTTGCAGTTGGAATAAACGTTAGAGGTTCTTTATTTTTCTTCTTTCAAAATCGTCTGCTCTGTTGTCAGGTAATGTAGTAGCTTTGTAAAATTCCCAGATAATTGACAATCATTTTTCTTCCAAGGAACGAAGAGGTGAATTGTTGGAGATGAAGATAATGGAAGCTTCTCCCACTGTCTTTCTCACTATGCAAATCCATACTTCCTGTTTTGTTTAGAGGGCTCATCTTGTTTTGAAGTGAGAACAGCAATTTTAAAACTCTGGCCCAGAGACATTTGGTTCAGAACCCACAGAAAGATTCCTGACAGCCAGGGGCACTTCTCCGCTGGTTTTTGTTTGTCTGCGTTTTCTGTGTGGGTGGATCACATTAAGTGGAAAGCCAGAAAACAGACATCTTGCTTCAGACCTTCTGAAGCAAATTACTAAAGCTAGTTATTGCTGTGTTCTTCTTCTGTCTTCCTGGTGCTTTGTGGAAGCTTTGCCTGTCATCTGGCATTAGCTTTGTGCATAATTAGTTATTGATCATGAATAAATTGTTGCAGATCTGTCATTCTGCTATCATTTCCTGGGTCACAAAAATAGAATGCAGCTAATAGACAACAATCTTGCCATTCCCTGATAATGAATACTTACAATGTGTAAATGGAGGAGGGAATGATAACTAGGTCTTACTCATCTATTTATCTACTGATAGCCCTCTGAGTTCTTGCCTCACTCCTTCCTCCACCTGAAGGTGGGTCAAACAAGAGACTGTTCTTGGTTTATTTGATAAAACCAAGAGGTGAGACTCTGGAGGCCTCCCTTTCATTACAGAAAGATGCATCAGTAGGAATGCTGTAAATTATTAACCATTTCTGTATCTTAAATATGTTGATTGGCAGCAGAGAAACTAATAAGTAAATTTACATCTTTGAGGGATTCTTGGTAGAAATTTAGATATCATAGACTCATTACTTATACCTTACAGATTTTAAAACTGTTATTGGGGGCATACAGATTTAGAATTGTGATCTCTCTCTCTCGTGGATTTACAGATTGCTGTTTGCTTTATTGCCACTTTGCATATACTGTGGTTTTTATAAATCAGTTTGTGGCAACCCTGTGTCAAGCAAGCCTACTGGTGCCATTTTCCCAAAAACATTTGCTCACTTCATATCTCTGTGTTGTGTTTAGGTAATTCTTGCAATATTTCAAGCTTTTCCCTTATTACTGTATTTGTTATGGTGCTCTGTGATCAGTGATTATCAATGGCTGAAACCCCAGATGACTGTTAACATTTTTTAGCAATAAAGTTTTTTAAAATTAAGGTATATGTACTTTTTTTTTTTTTTTTAGATATAATGCTGTCACACATTTAATAGACTGTACTGTAGTGTAAACATATTTTTCATATGCACTGGGAAACCAGAAAATTAATTTGACTCTCTTTATTGCCATACTCATTTTATTGTGGTGGTCTGGAAACTGAACCTACGGTGTCTCAGAGGGATGCGTGTACCCTTTTATTGATATGAAAACTTTCCCTTTATCTTTTGGTTAATATCTGCATGGAATATCTCTTCTCTTTTTCACTTTTAACCTTTCTGTGTCCTTATGTTTAAGGTCTGTCTCTTGCATGTAACACATAGTTGTATCTTTATTTCATCCAGTCTGAAAATCCTTTTAACTGAGGATATAGTTTGTTTATATGGGAAGGGTTGATACCTGCTGTCTTTCTGTTCATTTTCTTTTACCCATCTCTGTTATGTTCTCCTTTTACTCCTTCTTTGTGTTCTTTTGTACCAAGCCTGATTTTCTTTTTATTGTCTCATGTTCTCCTCTTTAAACATGTTAGTGACATGTTCTTCTACTGTTTTTTTATTGATTATCCTACATGTGACAACATGTGTGAATTCTTACAGAATAATTAAAATGATTACTATTGTCACTTCCCTGATAACACTAGATGTGGCTGAAATAGAACACTCTTATCTCCACATGAAATCTCCTTTTTTTATTATTATTGAGTGCATTTCAAGATACCTATATTTTATGCCTCGTAAGACATGACTGTTATTATTTTGTACAGTTAGTATTAATTCAGTAAGTTTTATATTTATTTATTTTTTTCATTTTTCTTTCAATTTCATGTTTCTTTATGGGATAAGTTTCCTTCTGCCCCCAGAAAACTCCTTGTAGAATTTCTTTTAATAAAAGTCTGCTGCATGTTTTGTTTGTATGAAAATCATTTATTTCCTCCTTGTTTTTAAAGGATATTTTTAGTTAATGTAGAATTCTAATTTGGCAGTTAGTCCTTTCAAATTCCTTTCTAATTTGGCAGCAGTCCTTTCAGTATCTCTTTTGGTTTCCATCATTTCTGATGAGAAGTCAGCTTTTAGACTTCTTGTTACGTCTTTGAAGGTGACAGTGTGTTTTTTTCTTTTTTTGTTTGTTTGTTTGTTTGTTTTTCCTCTAGCTGCTTTTACAATTTGTTGTTTCTGTGGTTATGAGCAGTTTTACTGTGGATTGTATAAGAATGCTTTTGCTTTTTATTTATCCTACATTGGATTTTCAGGGCTTCTTGAATTTTGGATTGATTTCTCTATTTGTTTTGGCAAATTCATGGTCATTTTCTATTTTAGTGTCATATTTGTCACATTGTGTCTCTCATTTTCTTCTGGAACTTCAATTACATGTGTATTAGACCTCTTTTTTATACCCTACATATCTCTAACACGCTCTTCTCTATTTTCTTTCTCCGTGCTTACTTATTTTCATGTTGATCATCTTCCACTTCACTAAATCTGCCTTTTACTCAGTCTAATCTCAATTTAACCCATATAGTGAATTCTTAATTTTAGATATTACAGTTTTTAGTTTTAAAATTTTCGTTTGATTCTTTTCTGTAGATTTATTTCTCTACTATACTTTCCCATCTTCTGTTTTCTCTCATCTCATTTCCATCTTTTTATTTTCTCCATTTTTTCCCTGTTTTAAAATATAATTATGTTGATATTCTTGCTAGCTAGGTGCAATATTTTGACCACCTGTCCTTCTGTTTCTGTTGTCTTCCTTTTTTTTTTTTTTTTGGTTTGGCCATGTGGGGTCTGTTCTTTTCTATGTTTAGTTAATTTTTATTTAAATGTAGCTCCAGATGATGTGCTCTTCTTTCAGAGATGATTCATCCTTTCCCCTTCCAGGCAGAGACAGTGGGACTGACATTTCTCTCTATCAAGGCTGTGTGTAGCCTTCGTAAGCCTCCATCTACATTTGGTTTGCTCCTGGTTCTCCAGGGTTTTCAGTGGAGAGTCTGCTGTGTCACCTGGGACCCATCTCCTTGGCATTTTCTAATTCATTATCATTCATTATCTTTGGACACTGATAGAAACCCCACTCTACCGAGTAGTCTCCTACCCCACGCAGCTCTAGGAATTGGCAGATGTCCTGAGGATGAGAATGACTGCACATTTGCAGCCTCCCCAGGTGTTTGGACCGGTCTGTAAAATGTTGCTCTGTTGCTTCCTGTTCCCTGCAAACAGGAGTTCATGACTCGATACTTTTGATTGTTTGCTATGCACCTTTTAAACAAATTCCTGTTGAATAAAATCCTTTATAAAACAGATACCCTAGGTTGCAATTTCCCGTTTTAGACAGAATTTGTTGCTTTACAGTGGAACTCATTTAAATATAAGATTACCTGTAGGGTAATTAATTATCACTTAGTTTACAAAATTTTCCATTGTACACAAGTTTTCAGGTATGGTATACTTTAGGCCGAAAACTAGTCTATATTAAGAAAACATCTGCGTTGCAACATTTTAAAATGCAAATGCATTGCTTTTTAGTAACACGCAACTTGAAGTAACTGCTAATAAATAATTTATATGTGAAACTTCCTTATAATTAGCAACATATATTTGTATACATGTAACCAAGGTGCACCTTCCTTATTATCCCTTTATTGATTATGCTCCACCTCTTGACAATTTTCCCGTTACCAGCAATTCTGTGATGAATCTGTATAGTGTCATTACTCTGAAATAAAATAATTTTGAATTTACTGTTATAATATCATTTTTATATGGTTACAAGATCGTGTTAAATTCAGGAAATTAAATTTATGTAATTATGTGACATTGTGGGTTTAAAAAAATACTGGCAGGAAGTACACCGAAATATCAATGGTGTAATCTCCGCGGGGTAGCATTAAAGCTGAATTTTCCTGTTCCTCCTTCCTCTGGTCCTTCTTTCCTCTTTCTCTCCTTCCGTCCCTTTCTATACATTTCTGTTTTGTAGATTTATAAAACGTTACTATGTTACAATGAAAAAAAGCAATAAATGGTGTGGTTCAAAACCAGCTTCTTCAGCTGGAGGACATAGCTCCCTAGCCGCGTGGTCCAGATGAGCCCCATTTCTGAGCTGCCTCCCGTGTTCCCTGGACGTGGAGGATTTTCCCTCATGTTCTAAGTTGCCGCTGCGGCAGCACCTTCCATGGCTCTTGATGCAGGAGCAAATAGAGGCAAGGCCCCGTCTGCCAGGCCCCATCGAGTGTCGTGTGCTCCTTTGTAGACTCTATGAAGACAAAGGAGAGGCGGACTTCATGGAGTCCCTGCTGCAGCTGTTCCGATCCATCAGCGACATGATGAGCAGCGTGTCGGACCAGACCGTCAGGGTGAAGGTAGGCCCTTGGGTGCAGCAGGACCGGCCATCCCCAAGGCCCACTGTGAGCTGCGGGGCTCCCCAGGTGGGATTTTGCCTCCTGCAAAGCCTGAACTTGCGTGATAGCCCAGGGATGGCTTTTGTAGCGAGCACGGTCCTGCCTCCTGTGTATTGAAATTTGGTTTTCCTTCCCCTGGCGGTGCTCTTCAGTGGTCATTGCTCTCTTTGCTCCTCCGCAAGGAGATGTTCTGAATTTACTTTACGTAAATGTGAGGATGTTGATGAGAGTAGTGTGTGCACATCACTTGTCGGGGTGTCTCGGGGGCTGGGCAGAGGTGGGGGTGCTGAGGCTGTAGGTGCCCCAGGCGTCGGTCGGACCTCAAGCTACGCTGTGGGAATGGTGATGCGTCTTGGTCCTGCAGCGAGTCTTCTGCTTGCCCAGAAGAGCGAGGGATCCAGCGTTCCCACCGTCCCACCGTTTTCACCACCTTGGATTACTTGTTCTCGCCCTGTTGCCCTTTGGAAGAAAGATGCCTTCACCCCATGTGAGGTCCTCGGGGCTGTGGTGTGGAGGTGCTGGGAGGCGGAGCATGGGGTGGGCCCCTGGAGCAGCCCAGGGCCTGCACGCTCTCCAGCTTCCCCATTCTGGCAGTTTCCGTGGGGCCGACTGACTGCAGATGGAGGTGTGGTTTGCAGGTGGCTGCCAAGCTGATTCCTTCAGAGAACAAGAATCTTCTGAGTGATTAACTTGCGGCTTTCACGCAAGTGTTCATTATAGCTGCCTTTGCTGTCACTCTCCTCCCTTAATGCTCTTTTATTATTTTTTATTTTTTTAAAGATTTATTTATTTGAGAGAGTGAGAATGAGAGAGAGAGAGAGAGAGTACATGAGAGGGGAGAGGGTGAGAGGGAGAAGCAGGCTCCCCGCTGAGCAGGGAGCCCGATGCGGGACTCGATCCCGGGACTCCAGGATCATGACCTGAGCCGAAGGCAGTCGCTTAACCAACTGAGCCACCCAGGCGCCCCACCTTAATGCTCTTTTAATGTGTAATTTCGGAAAACATTGTTATGGCTGTTGTCTTGAAAACGTTTTGGAAACTGATTTCCCAGCTTGCAAGCTTCCCATTCCGTCTGGAACAAAGACATACATGTGTCAGGTGTGTCTCATGGTTGCTGTGACCAGGGGCACCGTCATAACTGAACATGGACGGATCCACACTGGCCCTTTGCTTTCAGAGGTGGTGCAGCTGTCTTGCAGAGCTGCTGGATTCTTGCGTGGAATTGCTTGATCTTTATTTGAGTTTCTTGTAAAAAACTGATGATCTGCAGAGAGAGCAAGGTGGTACGTATATTGAAGTTTTAGGTTAACTATTTTCACGACTTGATATCGCCTCAAGCTTCCTTATTGCTCCGGGGTTAAAATTAGCAACGTGTTCAGGACGTTTACTACTACATCCTGTGGCATTTCAGAAAAACAGGCGCAGCGGGTGTAAGAATAGATAAAAATTACAGGAAGTTTGAGCCCAGAAGTAATTTTAGACTTCTAAATATACTCTTACATTATTAAATTTGATTGGGCTTGACTTCTGTCTGCCCACCTCTCTCTGTGTCAAATTATTTAGTGACTGGAGTCTTGCAAGTCCTTCCTTCAGTGGCTGTTTTCTTGTAAGATGGGAGTGAATTCAGGAATGTTCATGCATGGATGACAACTTTATGTCTGCAAGACCGGCCGGCCGGCGACGGAGTTTTTTTCAAATGTTGCCTCCCTTGCTGCTAATTTTGTAGTTCGTTTTTGCACCATAGGTGCTCTCTGTACAGGTGAGGGTCAAAGACTCCCACCCCAGGACCCTGGTTTTTACGTTGTTCTCACCCTTCAGGTTTTGCTCTGCAGGAGTGGAAGTAACAGTTGTGAATCATCTTCTATAGAGAAAAGATGAAAAATATGGAATAGGAAAAAGACTGTGGCATTTCGTAGGGGTTACAAGTCTTTTCCCAAAGGGTGGCCCTTGGTGGCCGTTTCGATTATGTGGGGTGAGCTGATGGGATTGGTGGGTGGGGGTGGGGCGTGGCTCCTCTGTCCCCGGAGCCTGCACCCTGCAGTCCCCTTCCCAGAGCTGCAGCTGCTCCCTGCATCCAACTGGCAGCAGGGTCAGCCCCGGCATTTTAGACCCCAAGGGAGAAAGACGCAAGAGGAGTTGGGGGCAATAATTAACCGCAGGAGGAACATGGCGTCAAGGTCGTTGTGAACAGTGCTGCCTTCCATCGGACTCAGTACCACACGTTTTTCCTGGGTCGTTGAATGTAAGTGAGCACACACACAAAGGGGAGACTGCGTGGGTATGTTTTTGTGAGGTGGGAGAAGAAACTGCGGGGCTGTGTGGTCCACCCTGTCTCTCCCTTCTCTGCCTGGGGCACTTCTGCCCCTTCTCTGTGGCATCCATGTGTTTCTGGAGGCAGCCTTACCTTCGTGCTGCTTTTTGCTGTCCCTCAGTGAATGCCCCCCAACCTCAGGGCTCCTGCCAGATCCTTAAAACAATTTTATTATGGTGATTAACATAAAATATACCATCTTCACCATTTTCAAGGGTCTGCTTCTGTGGCATTCACACTGTTGTGTAACCATCACCACCATCCATCTCTAGAACTTTCTTCATCTCCCCAAATGGAAACCCTGTCCTCATTAAAGAGGGACTGCCTGTTCTTTCCCTCCCCCAGCCCCTGGCACCCACCAGCCTATTTTCTGTCTCTGAAAATGTTCCTAGTCAAGGTTCCTCATGGAAGTGGAATCATACAGCATATGTCTCTTGGTGACCGGCTGATGTCACTGGTATAATATCTTCAGGGCCCTCCCAGGGTGGAGCAGTTGTCAGAATCTCATCCCCCTTTGAGGCGGAATTGTATTCCACGGATGTGTAGATCACATTTTGTTGATTTGTGCATCCGCTGATGGGCACACTAGGGTTGTTTACACCTTTTGGCCATTGTGAATAAGGCTGTGAAACTGTTCGGGTCTCTGCTTTCACTTGTTTTGGGTGTGTATCAGATGTGGAAATGCTGGGTCATATGGTAATACCATGTTTAATTTTTTGAGAAATTACCATATTCTTTTCCATAGCAACTGTACAATTTTACTCAAAGAGTTTTTTTTTTTTTTAATCTTTAAATTCCTTAGTGAATTTACCTTACCAGCGATTTCTGGCAACCTCTCAAGCTTGAGGCTTATCACCAAACCCCCCTGCCACCACCTTTAGCAAATGATGCTAGTCTGTCCGCTTTGCTGAAAAGATCCTTTAGGATCTGTCTGCCATCACCTTTCCTTTCTCACTTCCCATCCTACCACCTGAGAGTAACCTTCCACCTGTGCAGCGTCTCCCCCACCCACCCCTGCCTCTAGGGTTTTGATCAGTCCTTTTCCCATCATGTCAGTCTAGAATCTTCTGTCTGTGTATCAGATTGCTCTTTCACTTGGTCTACAGGCATGCCCAGACTTTCTCAGCACTCAGCTTGTGCGATCCCTCTCTGCCATCAGGCTTCCCTCTCTCCTTCCTATCCTATGAGAGGGTCCTGGTACCACGGCCAGCACCCCCTGGTTCTCTTCTCTGCTCTCCTCTGTCTGATCGTGGTCCACCTCTCCCCCGCGGATGACCCAGTGGCACTCAGACGTGGCCTCTCCGAAGTCAGATGTGGCCGTTCTCTTCCCTTTGTTCTCCTTGGCTGTGGTATCACACATCCGTGTTTGCTCATGTCCTTAGTTCTTCTTGATAAAATTGTGCAGAAAGTTTCTTAACCCTACTCCCTCCTCCCTCAGTGCTATACCTGCCCTTTCTTATTTCCTGACTGTATTTCATTGTTTTCCTAAAACTCACATCTGCTGGTGGCCTTCTTTTTCTCAGAAAGCTGTGATGTTTTCCAGCTGCCTGGAGAGATGGGTCAGATTCCGGTTTCTGCATTTCAGAAATCTTCATAGCCAACCCAACCAAGTCTCCTAGCCTTTAATTCTTAGAGACTTAAGTAGCATGCCTCCCCTAGAGAACACAACATCCGGGGGCTGGGAAGCCTCCCTGAATTAATTCCAGTGGTTGATAGAATCATGAGCTTCACATGCTAGAATAGCAACAGCTGATATGCATTGATCACTGTCCTAAGTGCTTTACACGTATCAGCTTATTTAATCCTTATGATAAAACTGTTAGGTACTCTCCTTAGACAACCAGAGATAGTAACTAAGTTGACTAAGTCCACATGGCTAGCATGGGGGCACAGTGATGATTTAAGCCTAGTTTGCCTGGTTCCAGAGACACGTTATTTTCGGTTCAACTCCCCTGGAGAATGCTGCTAAGCATCAGCCACCTGACAGTATTCGGAACAGGGCCCATCCCTGTCATCCACATTGGTGGACAACAGCTCTTTGATGCTTTGGGGCTGTAAAGGCGTAAACACTACTTCTGGTGGACCTTTCCACCAAGTGGACATATGGTATGTTCATGCGTAAAGCAATTAAAAATACTTTCACCAGGGGCGCCTGGGTGGCTCAGTCGCTTGAGTGTCTGACTTTTGATTTTGGCTTGGGTCATGATCTCAGGATGGTGAGATTGAGCCCCACGTCAGGCTTCACGCTGGGTGTGGAGCCTGCCTTAGATTCTGCTTCCTCTCCCTCTGCCTCTCCCCCCCTACAAAAAACAAAACAAAAACAAACAAAAACAACAACTTTGACCAAATGCCTCCCGATTGGGTGTGTTTGAAGGGAGGTAAAGGGAGTTTGATGGGGCTGGTCACAAAGGCTTCTAGGAGGACCAGGTCTTGGTCGTGGCCCCACTGTGCTGGCAGCAGGTGGTTCTTGGTCGT